CGGGGGGGGTGAGACTGTCACGGCGCGGGCGTGCTTGGAGGGGAGGTGGGCATGGGTGCGCTCGGGGGGGGCGACTGGCACAAGCAGCAGCAGCTTGCTCGCTCAGAGATAGTAAGAAAAGTGGGGGGCGTCCTATACATGGGGGCATCTTATAGACGGAAAAATACGGTAGATACAGCAAGCTCAACATTAAATGGGTACGACAAGCTTTTAAGAAGAAAAATAGGACATCAAGTAACAGGCATCAGAAAGCAGGAAGGACCAAGCAATGTTGCTTTTAGGCTGGGTTTTGCTGCAGACCACTGAATGACACAATAAATCTTTGTTTATACTTAGATTTCTTAAGTAACAATTAAATTACTTACTGCTTTTATATCCTTCAACCTGTTGTACTCATCAGCAGCTGCCTACAAGGAGAAATAGTTTGAATTAGACAACGTGCATTAGCAAAAACCTGAAGTGAAATGAAAACAAAGTAAACTTTCTGTTAATCTTTTGAAGGACAAGAACAGGTCAATATCTGAAGGAAGCCCTGGATATCCTGATTCTTCACAAATACTGAGTAGAGACCACAATAGTTTGGATGGGGTGGTGTACAAGACAGTGCCCTGGCCAAGCACAGGCTTTACATGCAGAAGGTCCCAGATTCAGTCCTCAACATCTCCCTGATCTACCAGAAACTGGAATGGGCTAGATCAGGGGTCCTCAAACTTTTTAAACAGGGGGCCAATTCACTGTCCCTCAGACTGTTGGGGGCCCTGACTATAGTTTGAAAAAAATATGAACAAATTCCTATGCATACTGCACATTAAAAATTAATTAAAATTAAAATTAATTAAAAATTATTTTTTTTAAAAAAAGTTTAAAAAATTAAAATGTTTGCTCCGCTCCCTCAGGCTGCAGCAGAAGCCCAAGATGAGGTGGGGAAGAGCATGTCCATATTCAAGGGACATAGCTACAATGTCCGCAACTGTGCTGGGGGTGGGGCAGAAGACGGATGTGATTGTGCTCGTGCAGGCAAGGCGGGCGCAACTGCGGCCATCCCCCCCCCCGAGCACGATCACGGCCATCTCCTCCCCTCCCAAGCATGACCACGCCCATCTTCCCTGCATGGGCCGCATCCGGTCCCCGGGCTGTACTCTGAGGACCCATGGGCTAGATGGACTAACGCCTGTTACAGAGACAGCCTCCTCTGTTCTAACGAACTCCAACAGCCACCTCCAATGAGAGCAGATGATACTGGGATAGATAAAAGGTCTCACTCAACATAAAAAACTTCAGTGTTGATGTCACTCATTTATAGTTATGCAAGGATGAACAAGAAAAGAAGGATTAGCAAAAAGACAGCTGGAAAAGGAACAACAGCACAGAGGAAGCAGAGATGGAATAACCAACTGTGAAAAGTTTAATTTTGTGACTGCTCACAGGGACTAGACCAGGGGTCAGCAACCTGCGGCTCTGGAGCCACATGTGGCACTTTCATCCCTCTGCTGCGGTTCCCTGTCGCTCAAAATATGCATCACAACAGCCAATGTGCGACACCCACCGGCATGCAATTTATTGAGCTTTTCAGAAGAAAACAGAACGTTTAATGGTACGTGGGCAGATTCCTTTGCTTTCACTGCTGATGAGACTGGTTTACCAGTATGCTTAATATGTTTTTGTTGCATGCAAAAAAAATTGCTTTCTCTGTAGCAGTTCATTGATTTCATAAATGCAACACACTATAGTTTTTTTTATACATAGCATAAAGGTAAAAAACAACATATGCAGTGTTATCTTCATTTTAGATGTCAAAGGGGTTTTGTGGCTCCTGGTGTTTTCTTTTCTGTGGGAAACGGGTCCAAATGACTCTTTGAGTGTTTAAAGTTGCCGACCCCTGGACTAGACCATCTTTCTGTATAATTACAACTGAAGAAGCTAGAAGAGGGAATGAAGAACAGGGGCGAAACAAGAACATAAAGAGATTTCTCATTTCTTACAGTGTTTATATTCAAGCAGATAAATGGATTGTCCATACCCCAATCACAAATTATGAAAGAAAATTCATTTTGAGGGCAGGCACATGTAATATTCTCAACAGAGGCCAGCAACACCACCAAATACTTTTGACAATGAAAGCAAACAATTGGATAATTGCTGGTTAAATTAGGTTAGAAAATTCTTTTCAGTATGTTGCCTTCTCTAAAACAGTCACCTGATTCCCAATCAGTATGAAGGACTGCCTGCTAGATACTGAGGAGAATTGCTTGCAACCATCTTGCTTAAGGGAAACCCATGGTAATAGATTTTTGGGCGGTGGAAACGTTTTGATATTCTTGGCAGTTTTGTACCTATATAGAATAATTATTCAATGTTGCAGCAACATTTCCCCCATAATCCCAATGGCCAAATCCCCTCAAAAATATACAATCACCTTTACCGCACCACACTCTTGGCCTACCTTGCGCACTATCATCTGCTCTGTTAGTGGCTCTCCAAAGTAGAGAGCTTCTGCCTGCCACTTGGGAAACGCTTTAAGGAAAGATGTTGGGTATGGAAGCTGGGGTTTTCTGCATGAAAAGTTTGTAAGTAATGCTTGTCCAAATGCATTAAGCACAGTGGGGCAACTTGTGGATCTCCTGCTAACTCCCATTAGTCCAAACCCACACAGCCAATAGTGAAAAACGATGGAAGTTGCAATCTTATTTATTAGATTTATATCCCACATTTTAAAAAAAGAACTCAAAGTGGTTTACATCAATCTCCTCCCACTGCTCTCAATCTTATACCCACAAGAGCAAACCTGTGAGGTAAGCTGGGCTGTGACTGGCCCAGAGTCAACAGAATTACCTTATATTCTTCACTGTCCTCAATGTAATCATCTAATTCTTTATCGAGACGAGATAGTTCTTTGTTGATCTCATCAAGCTCTGCTTGCAACCGCTTATACTCTTGCAGTCCTGCATCAAAGTCTCGTTTGTATGTTTGCCTCTGCTGGTCTGATGTTACAGGTGGATATTCTCTGAGTGAATAATGCAATTTTTGTATAAAAATGGAGTGGTTCACTCATAATTCCAAGAAATGTAAACTATAAAACTTCTTATTCGCCACGTATTTACAGATAGCAGACCTCTAACTCAATGGGGAGCTAGAGGCATACTTCAGTCTTGCTCTTTAATCCAAGTGTTAAAATATAAAATTTTGATGCTCTCTTAAATACAAGTTTTATATGTACCAAATATTAAACTGTAAAATCCACTGGATATATTCACTAAAATATAACCATTTTGCATATCAATAGGAGATTCTTAATTTCATGGACCTGACAGCAATTTCTGAAGGATACAGCAACATGCCCTCAGAATTCACTTTGGCTCAGCCTTCTCCCAAAAGATCTATGACCTTTCTAATGAAGGGGAAGCAGAAACTGAAGGAGCAGAAGCTTTTGACAAAGTGCCCCATGATATTCAGGTGGATCCACAGTTGGCTACAGAATCGGACTCAAAGAGTACTCATCAATGGCACCTTCCTGAACTGGGGAGAGATAACAAGTGGGTACCATAGGGTTCAATCCCAGTGCTCTTCAACATTTTTATTAATCATTTGGATGATCAAGAGCAGGGAATGCTAATCAGATTCACAGATGACACAAAACTGGGTGGGATAGCTAATATCCTGGAAGACAGAATCAAAATTCAAGGTGATCTTGATAGGTTGGAGTGCTGGGCTGAAAACAACAGAATGAAATTCAATAGAAAAAAATGCTGAATTTTACAGCTAGGAAAAAGACAGTAAATGCATCATTACAAGATGGGGACAACTTGGCTCAACAATACTGCAAGTGATAAGGATACTGGAATTCTTGTAGATCACAAGCCGAATATGAGCCAACAATGTGATGTGGCTGCAAAAAGGGCAAATGCTATTTTAGGCTCCATTAATATATCACTTCCAAATCACATTCCCCTTTTCTCAGCACTGGTTAGGCCTCATATGGAGTACTGTGTCCAGTTCTGAGCACCACAGTTTAAGAACAATGCAGACAAACTGGAAAGTGATCAGAGGAGGACAACAAGGATGATCCAGGAACTGGAATCAAAGCCCTTTGAGGAGAGATTGAAAGAACTGGGCTTGTTTAGCCTCAAGATACGACTGAAGGGAGATATGGCAGCGCTCTATAAGTTCTTGAAAGGCTATCACAGAGAGGAAGGACAGAATTTCTTCTCAACCATTCCAGAGTGCGGGACGCAGAATAATAGACCTAAGTTACAGAAAGCCAGATTCCAGCTAGATATCAGGAAAAGTTCCTAACTGTTACAGCAGTTCAACAATGGAACCAGTTACCTAGGTAGGTTGTGGGGTCTTCCACACTAGAGGCATTCATGATGCACCTGAACAGCCACCTGAGAAGGATGGTTTAACTTCAAATCCTGTACTGAGCAGTGGGTAAGCCCAATGGCCCTCTGGCTTCTTCCACTCTACTATTCTACTACGATCCTATAATTCTGATAACCTGCATGAGCTGAAGCTAAAAGAACTCTTCTATGTTACAGACGAAGCTGCCTATTAGTACTATGCCAATAACCAAGATTCTGCAGTTGTCCATACCTATCCCAATCCTCCTCCAGTTCATCACAAGACTCTCCTCCAGTGGTATAATCTCCATCATAGTTGTCAGTATTACTTCTTTTTATTCTTCCTGTTCTTTTTTGTTCTGGATCTTTAGCTGATCCATTGTAACTGCTTGTGTTGGCATATTGAAATTGTCCTAGGTCCTTTGTTAAGGGAACAGCAGCTTCAGGTATCCTATTACAAAATAAAAGCATTTAGGGTTTGCTTGTTTTTAGAATAATTGTATTTTTTTCTTATCTTAACTTTAATTTTAGAATAAGTGATTTTTCTTATCTTAACTAATTGCAATTTTTGTTTTATTTGCTGGTCAGTCACCAAATAAAAAAAATGATTGATTAGTTTCCAATTTAATGTCAAGGTATCAACAATATGTGAGGCTATTATTATAACCTAAAGAGAATATAGTCTGTCTGTTTACTCCTTTCTTTGAAGGATACCTTGCTCAGTATAAAAGATATTTCTTCTACTATTTAGGAAGACACTAGTTATAAAAGAACAGTTTTATCAAGAGTCTAAAAACCAGAATTCTCTTGAAAAAATTTACTGATTTTTTCTTATTTTACAGCAGGGCAATGTGGTTTAGTTGTGGAAGATTTGCCTAATTTGCCAAATAAAATTAAGAAACAACCTGAACAAGCAATTATTACAAAAAGCAAGGGAAGATGTATTGACTGATTCCACCTCCCCCTGCTCCTCCCCACAAAAATGGGTATTAACATAATAGTTTTATTGTGCCATTTCAAAAGAACACAAAACATTGTGCAAATTCTTCTTTGTGGTCTCTGCGCATCACTCATATGGGCTTGTGCACCTGCACATGGCTTAGAGCAGGAAAAACTAATTATATCAGCAGCAATCTCAGTGCTGCCTGATGATGTGAAGAAGATTCATATTTCATAAAGGTGAAATCAGGGAAGAAGCAGATGATACCCAAACTGTTCCAAGTGTTTAACCACAGTGCTGTGCTACCATTCTGTTGCATTGTGCCTAAATCAGAAAAACAGGGAAAGTGTACTTACGTTCCAGCTCTGTAGTTATTGCCATTGTAGATCTGAGGTGCAGAAGCCTCAGATACTGAGTAACCATTGGGACTAGCAACTCGATCTGGATAGTCAGCTACTGGTGTGGGTGCTGCTGGTTCTGCATTTACCTTGTTGACCTTGAAGAACATTCACATGTCAAATTAAAGGTAAATATAAAGCCCTGAACAAGGTATCACCATTTCAAAATTGAACAATTTATTCAGCTTTTAATTAGTTGGGTGTCAAGATCTTAAATGTCACAATAGGTTATCTGAAAAAGATTATCCTGGCTGGTATTTCAAAAAAATCAACTTCTGCAACAGATGGCTAAATGCATACTATGCCACTGAAAAGCAGGTGGCCTGACAGTTATCTGTCCACCATAGGGATAAAAACAATTCATATCAGATAGAATTATGCAATGTTTCCACTGACAGTATTTTTTTTACCCAATCTCTGCTGCCTCAAAAGTGCATGTGAGAATAAGAATAACTAAAGATCAACCATTAAATTAAGGAATTTATTAAAAAATGCGGATATTTAAAGGGGATTAGACAAGTTTATGGCTTCTAGTAACGATGGTCGTATAGTACCTTGAACACAGGAAGCAAGACTCTGAATATCATGTTGCTGGGGAACGTGAACGGGAAGGTGATACTGCACTCATGACCTGCTTGTGAGCTTCCCTTTGGTTGGCTGCTGCAAAAACAGAATGCCGGACTAGGCAGGTCTTTGACTTAACAGGACTGTTCTTATGGTTCTCATCACACTCTCCAACTGCCCTTTTTGAAAAAACTAAAGTTTGTGTAGTTTCTGTAGGTCATGTGAAGATTCTCATGATTACCACAGTGAGAAGAAATTATTTCTTTCCAGGTTCAGTGTGAGTCATACTACAGTGACTCTTGCATGCATTTTGATATAATCAAGCCATTCTCTCACCCCAACAACAAAGAAAGATCCTTACTGGGAAATTCCCTTCTTATTCCATCAGGCAGAAAGGAACAAAAAAAGCATTCCATTACAAAAAAACTCAGTGCTAAACTCAATCAAAACCAGGCTAAACATTTATTACACTAAAAGAATAATAAAAAACCCAGCAGTCCAGCATAACTCAGCCATCATGGAATGACTGGCTAATTAAAAGCTTAAGCAAGCTTAAAACGCAGACCAAATCAGCCATTTGAAAATGTTCTCAGCAACGGCTGCATTTTCACCTGTCAGCAAAAAGTCATCACTAAGGGAGCCAGGAGGCCCACCCTGGGAAATACATTCCACAGAGAAGGCTCAACACAGTACACTCACTGGCTTCACTTAAGACAACCTACGCAGAGCAGAATCTATCCTCTGTTCACATTTGAATGACTTTGTGCAGACCCAGCTCCACAGGGATTTTGGATGAAAAGGAGACAAGAGTGTATTGGGTCCTTCCCTCCTTACCCATGGCAATATTGGTGGCATGAATCGCAGCTGTCAGGCATCTGGACTGGCTGGTCCTGCCAGGAAGTTTGAGTGCACAGCCCAGAACTCCCCTCAGCATTGCCACTATGCCCTCCACCACCATGCAAGCAGCAGGCCTAGCATTTGTTCAGTGTGCCATATGCTGGAGCTGGACGTGGTTGCCTGCTACATCAGGTTGCCTCTCTGCTTCTGAAACAGTTGTTACCTGGGTGTGCAGGGCACCACATTCCACAGCTCACCCAGACAGTTTTGGTATGGTGTGGAAACAATCCATTGACATGCTCAGGGATGTTCAGTCCAAGTTGCTAGAATTTGTAAGAGCAGGTGCTGGCAATTCTAGATCTAAGGCATCATATCATAAAGTTGCATGGGGCAGCCATCATAATAACTAGTAAGTGTAACCTCCTGCTAAAAATTTAATGCCTTTTTGGAGGGAGGCCTTAAACTATATTTAATACAAACATTTAGGGCTGCAGCAGATCACGTGTGCTTTCCTTGTCTACCTAGTACACTTTATCTTATCCTCTTCGCCCCCCACCCCCTATGTCTTATGTCTTTTTTGACTGTAAATCTGTGGATAGGGACTGTAATCCCACTCCATGAGCCATTTTTGGTAAAGGGTAGAAGAAAAATACTTTTAATAAATTTAAAAAAAATAAAAACCCCTACACATACACAACCCCCCCCCACACACACACACACTCCTACTTTAAAGGGACATTGCATGAGACCCATCTGTATTGGCTTCTGATAAACATATGTCTTTCCAAGGCTGAAGGTTCAACTATGTTTTTACATACAAAATGGGGCAAAATCTTCCCTCCTGGCAGCAGCTTTCATGTTAAAATTACACACTAACCTACCAAGAGGAATACCCATTTAGACAGCACAACTGTCAGAATCACAGCGTGTCAAGTTTTGTAAAGTGCCACGCATGTCATTATTTGGGCAATAAGTACACTTTCTAAGTAGTGTACACTGTACACTATCTCACAAGCACAGAGGAATCACGGCCTAGTTTCTCTCTGAACAGCCATAGGTTAAAAGGACCGTGTGTTTTAATTAGGATGGAAATATTCCTGAGTTACAAGATTTCCAAACTGGAGGATTTAACCTTTTTTCACTTTCTTATCCCTGAAATTCTAGAGGCAGTTTCAGGTCCAACCTATGAACCATCACATGACGCACGGTGTTGAACAGGAATATCTGCATATCTCTCTGCCTCTATTTCATCTTTGGGTTTTGAAAATGCAGACTCTTCCTTTCCCCCTTTTCTCCCATTCCTGCCACTACATCTATTTTTGTGACACTTTTGTAATGCTTCAGTTGACCTAATAAAGGCATTACACTAATATGAATATTAGAATTCTCCAAGAGGTTAAGTAACTATCTTCACAAAGCACAATTTTGTTCTCAGTTTACATCTCATTTGCAGTGTTACATTCTCAGCATTTAACTTCATATGTGTGTGCCTTCACCTTAGGATTTTCTTTAGATAGGGAGGAGAGGACCCAAAAAAGCCCAACAGGTTTTTCAAGCTTTTCATGCTTATTTGCAGCAGTGTTTTCCAAGGTAAAAGGTAGGGGTGTGTGTGTGTGTTTAATATTGGACATTCTTTCACAGTTTATTCCATTTAACAAAAGCTTTAAAGACAAAGTTCTTCATGGGTTTAAAACTTTATAAGGAGTTGCCAGTCGCCTATACCTTGGCATAGCATGTGTTTCCCAGGGCATTAACAAAAGTGGCCACTCAAATAGGGAAAAAGATTCATATTCCATGTTGAATACTTTGGGCTTTTGGGGGGAGGGTGTGTGTGAAAAGGAAGTTGCTTTGTATGACAATGCTATTTTTATTAGTTTTTGCATCCTGCCTTTCCACTCTGAATGCACATAACTCAAGATATTAATACTTAAACAATAGATACCTTATAAGAAACACAACAGAACAACATATATTTAACAAGTGGCAAACAGCCAAGATGTACTTATACAGTCCTCATCTGTTGGTGCAACTCTAAACAATGTATTCAGGAGTGAAAATGAGCTTTTTGTTTCATCATTTGCTGATGTCAGTTAATAGGAAAGCACTGTTTAACTTATGTTTTCTGTCATTGTACTCCCTTCAACCTTATCTTACACTCACTACAAACAAAAAGTAGCAGTCCATTGCTTTTTAAAAAGGGAAAGGCTCCACTACGTAGAAGTTTAAGCCAGAGAACTGGACTGACACAAATGCCATTCTATCAACCCTTAACTCAAAGTCGCTTACTAGGTTTAGCTAGTTTGTTGACCAAGGAGATAAAGAATTAGCATTCCATTTGGAATCAGAGATTGTCCCTATAGCAGAGACTTGCAAAATCCCTACTGCCCAAATCTAACTGAATCAATAGCATGTAAGTATACATAAAAAGTGCACTTTAGCTGAAAGCAGGATTCTTATTTTGCTGATGATATCATACAACAAAAGAACATGCACCACACCCCAATGTGATGGTAACCAGAGTTACTTCCTGAAAAAAGTTGTCACAGAAGTTATAGCAAGTCATTCTCCTGACTGTGTAATTTAAAACTACAAATGACCTTTATTTGAATTACTAGAATGGAGTATGGTGGTTCACATTCCATTTAAACTGGCACTCCCAAATATATGAAATCTAAATGCCAATACATGGATCATATGCGTACACTTGACAAGGTGCTGCACGATTGGCTGCACCTCCCTGTTCAAAGTACATTTTCTTATAAATCTAAGTTTGTGTCTATGTAATGTGCAGGATATGTATGGGGGACTGATGCACTAAATAAGTGACCATGGAAATCTTCCTGCTACTATTCATATCTATTAGTCCAAGGGTCATTTCTTATCATCAAGGTTTAGCAATACAGGAAAAGGTGTTCTCTCTTCCACTCATATGCTCCACTTAATTATGCTTCCTGGGTTATAGCAAACTTAACTTGTTGTTAAATATGCAACAGCAAACAGGAAGTGGAAGTAATTAACTGGAGCTTCAAGGGGATGAGGGACAAGAAAGGGGACTGTGAAGACCTGAAGTTTTGTCATGTGACACCAAACCATAGTTTGGCATTACAGAACTGGCCCAGTAATGGAGGAGCCACTCAGTCAGGCTGGAGACCTTCCTGTTTATTTGGACTAGAGCTACTGTCAAACCAGGTCGGTGCAGAAATGACCTAGATCGAAAGAATAATCATAGGCTTGTTTAGTGACGACACATACCACAGATACATGATGAAGACAACTAATTCCAAGTTAATATATTAACTAAGGAAATAGTGTAGTGTGAGGAGAGAGTAAGATTTAGGAGTATGCTCCTTAATTTTTCTTTAAAAGGTATCTGCTGATTTTTCCTTCTCTATCATAACATTTTCTTATTGTTTCTACTGTGGTAATTCTACTGTGGTAAGTGTTTTTTGTGAGTTCTAAAACCTGTGACTACCCACTCAATCATGTTTTTACAACTTGATACAATGAGCACTGGTGGGCTTTAATATATTGCTCAATAACAGAAACTGTTTTTACTCTCTGAGGGAAAGACTGAGACAATATAAATCCAATCCCATTGCCTTCAACTTAATTTTCAGATTACCCTGGTCAGCCAGTAATCAGCTATAATAAGGCTCAAACTTGGCTCTGATGATACTTAGTTTAGTATCTTAATAACTATGCATAGATTGCTTTATGTTCAGTGGGTACATCTGAAAATATCCTAAAATAGATATAGGTAGATTGTTAGAGAGATATTATCTGTAGATAGATTTTATTTATTTATTTATTTATTTAAAACATTTCTATGCCGCCCCCATCGCAACAAAGCCTCGGGGCGGTGAGCAGTCCTTTTATACATTAACCATTACATAGGTGACATTAAATATCAGAGGTTTTCTGCAAAGGATTAAATGCATTCACATAAGGCCATCTCCAAGTTTAGAACTTAGCTATAATTTTGTCTGTTGGATTACAGACTCATGATAAATACAAAAGGTTACAGGTATTCTGAAGGATTTGTTCATTGGGATTTGTTATTTGACTTAGTTTTACTCTCTCCTTCCCAGCCAGAGTGAAACATGAGTAAACAAGCTCATTAACCAGCAGAGAACACGCCCCGAAACTGTCTCACCGAAACATTTACCTCATATCATTTAAAACATGGTATGAAGTAGTTGGCCTCTTTAAACTAACCCTCTGAATAAAGGTCAAAGCAAGCCAGTGTCATATGCAAGTAATAAAGATATCATAATGTGCAGTAAATACTATGCACATACAATGATATATCAGGTTAGCAATATTAAGTTCAGTTCCCAACTTATCAAATTAAACACTGCCAGCTTAAGATCAAGGAGTACTTTTAAACATTTGGTGTAACTGCAGAGATGGGTGGCTTTACATATATCTTTCTCATTCAGCTGTTCAGTTATTATCTCACAACTGAATTATAGACTGGAATAGAAAGCTACAAATTCATTTTCAAAGTAGTATTTAAACTTTCTAAAGAGCAACATAATCCAAGTGCTAATTTGCTTGACTCTAGTGCACATGACCAGGAGCGTTGTTCTCTGTCCAGAGTGTGCCATGTTAACAATCAACAACTCATCTTTCTTGTTCATTGTGAGACCAAATTGCAAGTTTATATGCTACTACACAAAACTCAGAACACCCATTCACCACAACCATAGTGCAATCCAGGCAAGAAAAAGTATGCCTTTCCTGCTTTCATTTTATAAATTATCCTTAAAACAAAAACTTCAACATGCTCTGAAACTGACTCATCTTTGCTTAGGAAAGGTGTTGACAACCTGGTACGCTCTATTATATTTTGTAATCCAAAATATTTAACCTCAGACTGTTTGCCATGTGGAGTGGGGATTATAGCAGTTGTAGTCCAAAATATCTGCCACTTGTGGCTTAGAATGTGGTTTAACACTTGCCAATCATTATAAAGCAAATGTTACTACAGGAGCAATTAACAGATCTGCTTCACAGGGATTGCTGGAGCCCTTATTTTGATGAAGCAAAGCCTTCAAGCAAAATCTTGCAGCTGTAAATTGAACACATGGTATCCATCCCATGTGAGGGAAACCTGCTAACACCTATAGGAACAACATCTGTCACTATATACCCCATAGTCCTTAAGGAAAAGTTCTGCCCATTCCATTCTTCTGAAGGTCACTGTCCCACAACAGTGGAGAGGGAGCAGCCATCTAACTTCAAACTGTATTGACTGCAAAACTATGCACTGGTTAGGGAAATGACTGAAGATAGTATTGAAGGCTTCATAACACAGGAAATAATACATTTCATTAACTCAGAAATCCATTTAAACTCATTAATATATTTAAATTAATGTATGCTAAAACAAAAGATTTTGTTACCCACCCAGAGAGCATTTTGGCTAAGAGGTGGGATAGAAAACTAATAAATAAACCAAATAAGTATGAGGTCATGTAGTTATAGCACTGCCACATCTCCTCTTTTATTATTATAAATGATTTCACAAACAAGTATGAAAATAGTTACCGTATTTTTCGCTCTTTAAGACGCACTTTTTTCCCCCTCAAAAGTAAGAGGAAATGACTGTGCGTCTTACAGAGCGAATGTGTGTGTGCCCGACGCCCGGGATGCTGCCGGCCCACCTGCACCACATGGCACCACCTGGCCGGCACGCGCTCGGGGCACCCTGCTCCGCGCTACCCCTCCGGCGCAGGTGAGAGCTGTGCCGCTCAGGAGGAGAGGTGCAGAGGAGGAGGAGCCGCGGGCTTTAACTCGCCAGCTGCACGGAGAGACGGACTGCTCATCCCCACCGCCTGGGAAGACCTGCCGCCGCCCGGAAGACCACCGCTGGCACGCTGCCGGTCCCACGTGGCACCACCTAGTCGGTACATGCTTGGTGCACCCTGCTCCGCCCCCCTCCTCCGGCACAGGTGAGAGCTGTTAATCACATGTCAGTGTGTGTTTTCAAATGGCAACCCGTCTTTTAATGAAGTCCATAGGGAAGTGATGGGGAATGTGTCTGTGATTATCAGGAAGCTTTCCATGGATCAGTTATCTGTTAGTTGATCAGACACATTTTTTTTTTAGGATCAGTGGATATTTGAACAGCATTACCTTCGTGTATGAAGTTTATTCTTTAAAGGCTTAGTCCGCTGTGTGTTTGATTTACCATACAATATCTCATTTTTTGTCAGAAGCTTTTTTCTATTATTTACTAGTAGGGCAGCGTGGACATTACTGGCTTTTTTAGATTTGCTATTGAATTGTCTGCAGCAGCCCTTGTATAACTGGTGTAGATTGTGGATTTCTTCAATAATTCCACTACTGACTAAGAAAGTGATGTCAGTGATTGTGAGCAACAGAGCTTCATAAATTCTGACTCTAGTGATGATGAGTTCTATGGGTTCAACGAAAACCAGAAGAGTACTTGAACTTTAAAGCCTCTCTTTTGTTAATGACAGTGATGATGGTTCTTAATGCCACTGCTGACTGCTGTTCACTTTACAAGGTTGAAATACAGTATTACTGTATTCTGTTATAGTTTATTAAATAGTTTGGTAAACCATTTGATTCAGAATATATTTTTTTTCTTGTTTTCCTCCTCTAAAAACTAGGCGCGTCTTATGGTCAGGCGCGTCTTATAGAATGAAAAATATGGTAACTTACCCATTCTTCCACATTGGGAGCTTCATCATCATTCTTTTCCTTATCCCAGAGGATATTCACTTTGCTATAGTGATTTATTTTATTACGGGTCTTTACTGCAAAGAATATGATTATGGCCAAAGCTGCGACAATCAGGAAGCCTAATACAATAGCAATAGCCTAGGAAAGAAACAAATCAATATTCTTTTAAAATGCATTTTAAAATTCACTAGAAAAAATAACAGTATAAATAGAAGGGTCATTCCTTTCAAATTACAACTAAATAGTTGAGTGGAACCACTTTTTTTTCCTTAAATTTGAGAGTTCACCAGTCAACCAATTCAACCACAGACTTTCATCCATAGTTCCTTTGCTTAAAGATAACTAAAAGTAAAAATAAATGCTTGCCTCAAAGGATTGCTGTAGGGTTACTCTGTAATACACCTTGATTAGTAACTTATCCAAGTGCTATCAACATCATAATGCAGGTACACATTACACAGAACCAGTTGTATCATTCCTCATATTGATGTGCTCCATTTCCACAAATGCAAGCTTTAGCAAGGTTAAGAGGAATAATGTTGAAGGGTGACAGAAAGGTCTTTTCTGGATAATTAGAAAGGCCATGTTTGAGCCTCAGTTTTATTAGCCTTGAAGTTCAAACAAGCTTCATGTTATTAAAATATAAGGGTACCCTAGGGCCATTTCAGATTCAGACACCCTCAGGAACCCTCATTTGTATGTTTTACTGCCAAAAGCCATAATTTGTACACATGTAGACAAATACTGCATATTTAAAAAGAACAACAGCAATAAGTTCTCAAGTATTAACAGCTTAGAAGAAAAATTCTTAAAATGTTTGAAAGCAGCATCACAATCCTCCAGCCATAGTGGTTTGTGACATCATATGAATCTGGATTATTTCCTATAGGTTGGCTTCTTCAAAGAAATAAGCCATCCTTACAACCCATGGAAACCTATTAGGTTCCTTTGACTTTTCCAACCTTTCCCAACACAATACATCTTCAGAAAGATGCCAGAATGTAAGTCACCAAAGGGATTTTTGACACAGACATCTGAAGGCATGAATGCATAAAGAGCTATGAAGAAATCGTGGGGAGCCCTGTCCAAAAAACAAAACCCCTTTAAAATAGAACCTACAAGTAAAAAATAGAACTCTTGGTAGTCTTTCTGGGTCAAGAAGAATGCCTGCTGCATTACAACAGGTATATCCCCAAGCCCAGCCCAGCCATTTTGCACCTACAAAAGTGCACAAATGTGCACTTGTGCAAGCATGACTACAATTTAAAAAAATTAAAGGGATTTGGGGTATAGATTCTGTGTAGATTTGGGGTGCAATTCTGTTTTAAAAACGGGTAAAGAACCAGTGACAGCCCCACTGACATGCCACTCATGAAAAACAACCATTGAAGAAAGGGGAACAAAGGGGTAAAATGGAAGAAACAGACCACAGTGAATACAAGAGGGCTCACCAGTGGGGTGTGACAGGCAGACAGGTCCTGCTGTGTGATCCCCTGAGATACCAGCAGGAGGGCCCAAGGAGAATTGAGGAAACAACTCACAGGGAACACAATCATTTCTTGTGTGCACCATAAATTGCACCTTCAACAACCCACCCTGTGCAACTTATTCACATGGTAGATTGTTGCTAAGTGCAAATTTGCCCTGTTAGACTTAGAAATATATTTCTTGCTGGCTCAGACCATCTCTCAGGGCTAATACGCCTCTTCAAATTTCAAAATTTCTGTTTGCAGACAGAAGATAAACAAATAGAAATGGCAATTTCTTCCACATTCACTTTTGCACAACCATCAAGGGTCTGCTTTTTCAGGCAACTTTTGGTTTCAACTTAAAATTAAGTTATGATCCTGACTAATTTACCAAGGTGCAAATCTCACTGAACTGAGTGCAACTTACTTGTGGGTAAACACATTTAGGATCAGAATTTAAGCATAATTGTTTATTAGTGCATAGTCCCTTTGGGCAAGATTGCATTTATATTGCTGCAGGCTTAAAACTATGGGGGTAGTTATTTCACATCCCTAGAGCTTTCTCAGAGGATTTTATAAATCCTCTCTCGTTGATCCTTGCAACAATCCTAGGAGGTTAACTATTTACATTCACTTTTTATAGACGGAGTAGTGAAACTGACTCAGAATAATTCAATACATCCAGAGTTATTGTCCATTCAAGTTATTGCCCAAAACAGAAATCACAGGTCATTTAAGGACTGACATAGACAAGCTCATTAAGAAAAAACCAACTAAAAAGATTGTTTATAGCATCTTCATAGCAACTCTTTAAATGGTTCAAGTAGATTTTTAAACAGGAGATTTGAAGATTTACAAGTGTAACCTGACTTGGGTAAATACATGAAATCAAGCCACAATGTTAGAATCCTGGACTTACAGGATAACATGCATTCACTTTACCATATTCCTCATCATGTAGATTCTAGAGAGGAGTTGGGAACATATAGTCCTCTTTATGCTGTATGATCTCAACTCTCATCATTCCTGATAACTGACCATCCTGACTGGGGCTGACAGAAGTTGAAGTTTGACATGTAGAGGGCAAGAGGTTTTCCATCCCTTTAGTCCTTTAAGAACAATTTCTTTAGGAATTTGACAAAAGGAAATGCAATTCAAGGCATTTTCACCTTCCTCACCTTACAACACGAGAGAGAAAATATCACAACTTTGTCGAAGCTATAAATCACTCAAACAACTGGTTGCAGAACTTGGTTTTAGCCTAACTATTAGTATACGCCTTTGGTTCAGAGTTGAAATGCTAGTATTTTACATTTGGAATTATATAATGGTTTTTGTCTTTACATACCTCTTGAGGTTCCACCACGCAGTAGTGATACAAGTATTGATTCACAAAGAGTGCACTGCTCGTAGGTGCATAAAACTGGCTGCATAACATATAAATCTGATTGTAGAACATTGATCCAGACGCTTGTGCAGTTGGATTGACTGCAAGTATATACACTATGGTAGCAATGAACACTAAGAAGAGCAAGATAGAACTTCCTATTATCACAAGAAGATAATACTTCCTTGTCCTAACCATGCTGGTCCTGGTAATGCTAGTTACAAAAACCACCAATCCAGCAATAAAGCAAAAAGCTGTCATTGCTAGTATGAAGCCTTTTGCTCCCCGCGGATCAATGTAATTCCCTCCATAATTATATAAACCATTATAGCCACCATAACTTCCAAAGCCACCGGCTCCACCATAACCAACATAGTTGCTTCCAAAGCCTGTTCCTCCATAGGCTCCATAGCTTCCAGTCAATCCAGGTCCCAGAGAACCTCCATAAATGTCCAGGTCCCAAGGCAATGTGGAGGCAACACAAGCGAAGACTCCAATACACATCACTATTATGAGTAGTGACATGATCTTGATTATTCCTGGAGGGGATGTCCATTTGTAGAAGTGTTGCACTTCTTCTTCCGGATAGTAGGAATATGCAGGCTGAGAGAACATGGGCTGAGAATGGAATTCACCACCGTACGTATTATTGCTTGGTGCATATTGTGAAGGTTTGCTATGAAGACAAAAAAACCCCCACACACATATTTTAGGGATTACTGGATATTTAAGAATTTGAAATGTCAAGTTTATTTGCCTAGATTCTTCCCAAAGTGGTTCAGTACATTTTATATACTGTAAATACCCACATAATCTACCTTATTTGAAATACACAATATATGGTTTACACATATTCTATAAGAGGGTGCACAGAATTTAGCTGACGCTGATAGCCATCCTAAAATTTGTAATTGTCAGGACTTCATAGGGACAGGATATTTATCTGATGTCACAATTAACTCTATGACACAAGAGTATCTGACAAAGTAACACAAATTCAGTGATAATCACTGCTGTGCCCCTGCTACAAGCACTGTGGATCTGTTCATTTATTCTTATCCATCGACACAGTTCCAGTCTACACTATTCCCCACACCACAACATGGCTAAAGGCATGGTGTGCTCCAATGCATGCCAGTGGCTGTCTTGAATATGCAATTCTCCATCAGGAAGTTACCATTCTTTGTTGTGTTGTATGGAGCCACGCAGTAGGGTTTGCTGGAGGATGAAAACATGGTGTGTGTTAGGATTATTTGGGGGTTGTTTTCCTCCTCCAACCATCTCTGCCATCCTGGTTCAGATGACATGGCAAACCGTAGCAATCCGGTCAGAGACTAGATATTCAAAATGGCCACAAGCATGAATGTTGATCATGCAAAATGCATCTCTGACACCACTTCCTTTACCTTTAGAAATAAGCTATACACACACACAAGCCTTTGGCATCTCTTTAAGAAGAACCTGGTATTCAGAAGGACTGCTGCTGCCCACTCAAATGAGCATGTCCAAACAACCTTCCACCTTGAACTGGAAGGTGGCAGCACCTGGGACATTAAATATTCTTTAATGTTGGGAAGAGGAAATCTTGCATGCTCAATACTGATTGATGCTGGACAGGAAGAGGAGGCAGAAGCACAAACGTGTTTGTCGAAAGGGAGCCTTCATGATTGCCTATGTGGATTCATTGTTTGTGGATCTGATTTTTTAATTCAGCTACAAAATATAAGCAGCTCATGGAATCATAAGTAGCGTTGAGGGATAAGGAACAGAAAATTTTTGTCCAACATCATGAAAAGTACAGAAACCTCACATGAGAAAACTAGATATAAATGAATAAATTTTAAATATGTGAATACCTGGGTGTGTACATAGATAGTTCTTTACCAATAATACATGAAAATCTCAGCTTTTCCTTTTAAAATATGGTGGAATGACTCTTTCCTACTTCTGTGTATTTCTGACATTCTGGGTATGTAAATGAAAAAACTACACTTGACAGAGTTTGTTTTATACGTATATCCCATAAAAACTGGACCCAAGATTGCAACAGTTTCAAAAACTCTAACAAGCCATTTCCCCTCTCTCTAGTGTTTCCTGTTTCCCACAAACACACAGACAATATTCTTAATGTAACATCACTCAAAATATAATTGTAAAAAAAAGTCTTGGCTCAGTATCCATCCATGACCCATTTCTAGTAACACACCAACAGTGTAACATAGCACAGAAAGTTTTTTGAGAAAGTCCTTTGCACCAGTTTATGTTACTGATGTCACTATGTCAGAGTTATGCCAACATTCTAAGTGGATCAGCTATGTTTGACATTACCCTTGGATTATTATGAGATAAAAGAGGATTATGGTTTTATGAAGGCAACTTGTAAGAAATATTGCATTCTCTTCATGTCCAGCAGGATTTTAAAAAAATACTGCAGAGATCCCAGCCCCAACAAGATTTTCTTATGGTCAACCCTGTAACAAGTAAAAACCAATGAACAGGTATGGTGGTTGATGGGAAAGAAGCTGGATGCTTTCTAGAAAATGCTGAAGCTAAGTCATTATCAGAAGAATAATACTTGGTTTGCTCTGTGCTTATTTTTATGGAAGTAAGTATCCAAATCTGCATGTTGGATAAATGTAGGACCAGTCAGGAGCACAGGAACACGCGTAGTTTCCTAACTGGCCAGATAAGAGTGTCTTTGCTTAATGAACTCATCACAGTTCCTTGAAAAATTGTCCGAAAACTCTCTGGTAGTAACGAAGTGTAACGAGGCATGTTTCCCAGCCTGTTCTCACTCAATGAGAATAAAACCAGTTTCATGGGATGTAATATACCCTCAAGGATTATTTTCCTTGGTCAGTTCTTGAGGGAATATTTTATATGTAATAGGCACACTGCCTATAAAATGTGCCTTCAATATGATTGCAGGCACATTTTTTAATTGGCACACCGATCCAGAAAACCTAGAAATTACACAGGGACTAGGCAAACTGGCATCATCAGCACAGAGAGCATCCATTCCTTATAGTATAAAACATGTTAACAAGTACCATCATTAAATGACACTTTTATGTCAGCCACTTTCACTGCGGCATTTCAGTCGCCAGGCAGGTATACTCTGGATGTACCTCAATTGGGCACTCAACTCATGCAATTAGCAAAGCAGATTATTTAATATTTGGCTTCTCAGTAAAATAGCTCCTTGTAGGAAAATACTAGACATTTTACCAAGGCAAGAGCAGAGGCTATACTGTAATGATTGGTTTAAACTTCGATAGTCATAACATCACATAAACACTGCAGATTAACAATGCTGTCATTTCGATAAGTAATCACCCCTTGAAACTAACTACATGACATGCATGAAAACAGGATTTATTTCCACTGCATCATCATAATTTCAGGGTCCAGGGCTAATATGCTTTCGCTCTGCAAAACTGTAAGCCATGTTTCCATGTTTTAAACATAGGGAACACTTGATAAGGATAATCCAGTGGGTGAATTCTGTACATAATATGCATTGTCATTTTTTTAAGCAAGCCACCTACTTGCACTAATCAGAGTGTAAGTGTTTGGCTAAGGGCAAGATGGCATACTCTCCTAAGCCCTCAGATCTCATAGACTAATCTGTGGCTCCATGAAGAGAAAATATGTGGCTATCTGCTTTATATTCACAATCGCTAAGTAATTTCATGTTCATGTTGGGCTTTGCTTTACAGATAATGTATGCAGTATAACACCAGAGGTACCTACAGTTTAGACAACTAACATTGGGAGGTGCCAGACTTGATATCTTTAACAGTGTACACTACTTATCTGTAATAATATGAACTGTTAAGAAAAATGAAAAAAAATATTTACAATTCATCAGGTCGATAAGGAGGAGGACTTTCAAAAGGTCTGCCCGACATAGTGGAAGCCTTGGAATGTTCAGCTGTATACCTTTAAATCCATGAAACAGAAAAAGTTATATTAATAATGTTTATTAAAATATCAATAGTATTAATATTAAACAAAATGTCAATCATTCTATGAGAACGTAACTTGCAAAACATAGACCAACCACGTACTAACAATGTCCTATCACATTCTACATAGGGCAAACAGAACAAAAGAAGGCAAATGGACAGAAATCCGACATCAGGAGTGCCAATGTTCAGAAACCAGTGGGGGAATATTTTAACCTCATAGGACTTTTCAGATTCCCAGATGTGAAGTCAAAATGGACGTCTGGCTTTGGATCTGTGCTCACATCCCCCTTCACCTGGCAGTTGGAACAGCTCAAGATCATAACAACAATCGCAGAAGAGTTTAGGGGGCACAGCCAGGGTCAGAGAGGAAAGGAGATCAGCACCATTAAGATATCTGGTGACACCTCACTTTCCTTCCCTCTCACTTCAAGTGCTGCAGCAACGTGGCTGAAATCTAGCAGCATGGAGTCAACCTTTGCCCCTGTGCCACTCCTGTTCCATGCCGGGTATCCATAATCCTTGAAGCTGAGAGGGTTCCGTCCATCCCTACTGGGATGTTACCATTCATTTTTTAACTAGTTTACCTTTGCAAGCATGTATGTGCTATCACCCAACAACGTTTTGTGGATGTGTAAGTTAATCTTCCCTGATCCTACTTTGCCTTTCACTTCATCTGACAACAGTGTACACCACATCTCAGCTCTCATTCCTCTATAACATGAGTATATAGATATGTCAGTTTGAGGTTGCATCTGATGAAATGGACAATGTATGTAAACTTTTGTGAGAATAAATTTGATCAACTGTAATAACCCACAGGAGTCTGCTGCTGCTGTTGTTTTTCAGATTATATTTAGGATACAACATTGCAAACTCTTTAGCAGATGCAGACAGCAGGCACTGAACTACTCACATTCCACCTCTATGATACGAGCAACTATAAACAACTACCTAGATGTGCAAAGTATCAGTGTGTTCAGTATCACTTAAGATTATGCAAACATACACACTTTTATGTAAACATACACCCTTGTCCTGCTCAAGACTTTCATAATTAATTGTTCAGTCTATTCAGTATAGATTTGTTGAATGTACTCAAACTTTGTGCAATATGGGACTTTACTTCCTCCTGCCCAGCAGTTCCCACATTCATCTATTGAAGATAACAGATCTGCAAATACATTGTTTGTGGACTTTATTATCTTTAAACCAGGGATAGCAAACCTTTTTCAACTTCAGGATTGAATTTAATTTCAGAAAAGTTTTCAGATAATGCACTGCAATGATAGTGCAGCAAAGGTTTAAGGGGCTGACCAAAAATATCAACATACTTTAACGTTAAGTTTTTATATTGCCAGTAATTAAGCCTTAGGGGAGGATTCTAACTGTTAAGAATATGGAAAATGCATAAAAGCAAGGAAACCTCCAAGCAATTGCTGAGGGGGCATCTTGGAAATCTCAGAAAGCTGGATTGAGAGCCCAGGTGAGTTGAGTTTGGCCCATAAGCCAAACATCTTGTTTTGAGGTATCAGAATATATTGTTTTTCCTATATATCAAGTTCCATAGAAATCACTGGGTTTACCTCTGAGTAAACAAACCTGTTCCAAGTTTTTGAAAACACTGACCTAAATAAACAAACAAACTTGGAAGGGTAGCAACATCTGCCAGTTCTGGTCTAACAATTATGTTTCTGCACTTTGGCAAATGTTAGCTACATAATCAAAAATATGCAAACTAATTGCAGCATCCAGCTATATTCAGTGGACTGCAACTTTAGGAACAGGGGATGGGGGAACCCTCAGAACTAATTAAGACAATCCTTCATACCCTCCAAACTTCTCTTGAAAGCAGTCTTCTTACTGTTGAGATAACATTGGAATAGTTGGGACTTTAATGTTTTAGCAGCTATCAACAAGATAGATGTTCAGAGGATTGTGTTATTAATTCATGTAGAGTAAAAGCAGTTTCAGAAATTATGCCTGTTAAAAGAAGTCACACTCCTGAACAGCGTGGAAAAGGTAAGTGGAGACATGAGATTGTATAACTAAGGGTAAAACAGTTTAGCTCTAAGGACTTGAATTATCTTCCAGACTTTTGGAAGATTTAGTATTCTCTGAGGATAGTAATAATGTATAGAGTCTGCTTACAACCATATTCAAACACAAGCTCAGAAAGACAAAGTCTACTCCTTAAATGATTGGGGGTGGGGGGAATTTGGATAACTGCTAGAAAAAAAGCTTATGTTTCCATTGGACATACTTGTAGGTGTATTGTACTGGTCCTAGCAAAGATGGACTGACACTTAAGATGTTTAACCCTTGCAAGATAAAATTCAAAATATATAAATAAATCTAGAGCATCAAGAAGTTTTGTGGCACCTTAAAAGATTAACAATAGCACAATAGAATTATATACTAAATAATAAATAGTAACAATTTCATGGACTACATTCCATTTCATCAGATTAATGAAGAGACTGCAGCCCATGAAAGCTTATGCATATTTGGTATTGTGTGTGGAAAACCCACAAACACCTGCCAATTTAGAGTAACACCTCATGTATCTGATGAACAGGAATCCTGTTCATGAGCCTTATGCCATAACATTCTTTGAAGAACTGTTTTTGCCACATTTCCAGAAATGATCACAATACTTGAAACTTGTGGAGTGCTTGCATAAGCGCTATGAAAATAGGAGAGAGAGAGAGGGAGAGCGAGAAACAGACCAAACCTAGGAGTTATGAAGTAAAAGTCACCTTTTGCAGATGTCCTATGAAACTGAGGAAGAAGCTTCCTCTCGCCTTAAAGGGTTCCCTTCCATCTGCAGTCCCCAGTCCAGTCATTAGTTGGTAAAATTTAGCCATTTCAATCCTATTCCTAGTTGTTAACTCGAATCCTCCTTAAGGCAACTTGTTCGTCCAGGCTTTCCCTCTTATCTAAAGCTGAGCAGGCTTTGTAGTATCTGCCTTTGCTTTGTGGGGCTTTGGGGGTAGGGAGAGACAGGAACAGGGAGTGGCGGCCCCGGTGCGAAGAGGCACATCGCTTCCTCCAGCCCCTAATCCCACAAAACAAAGCCCAGCACGGGCAATTTTACATGAACGAGAAGAGCCTGGGCGAACTAGCTGCCCCGGCCGTGATTCGAAACAACCACCACTCCGCTGGGGCCATGGAACTGAGACTGCCTCGTGCTCCGCCGGCTAGCAGCCCCCTTGCGGACTGCAGGCTGAAGGGATCCCACCTAAATTGCTGTTTGCGGGAAAACAACCAGGAAGACAGTGGCGGTGCCTCTCTTTCCTCCTAAGAGAGCCACCTGCACGCACAATACGCAGTTCCCCAAGATTTATACTACTACTCCACTCCCAGCCTCGCACCGCAGAAAACTTACCTTGGGCCAGCCCGTAAGCCTCCTCGCTCGCTCTCTGCCCAAGGATTGCATCTCCTCCTCCTGTAAGGGAGAGCGGGCGGGCGCTCCACACCCAAACAAGGGCGGGCATGCGCACTGGCTACATACCTGAGCAAAGGGAGGAGAGAGCGGAGATCAGGAGAGCGACCTGCTCCTCGCCTCAGCTTCAAACCAGCTGAGTCCGCTCAGAGCGAGCAGGCAGGCGCCTCGTTTGGAAGGCGCAGAGCGGAGGGGGGCAGCGAAAGTGATGGGGGGTAGGGTGGAACAACTCCCCTTTGCAGAAGTCGGAAAATGTTTAGCTTAGGGAGAAAATGAGGAGTGGCGATATGATAGAGGTATGCCAAAGGAAGCGCTTTTTCCACCCAGGCTATATATAAACTGCGGAAAGTATTTCAATAAGCAATAGTGACAGCAATAGTGGCCGTCACTATTGCTTTTGAAAATGGGTGGCTTTAAAAGGGAAATTGACAATTTCAAAGAGAAAACTATCAGTAGCTGATAGTCCTGATGGCTCTGTTACCTCCAGTACCAGAGGGTGCATGCATATATACACCCGCTGCTGTGGAACATGAGCTAGAGTCTGCAGTTGCATCCATGCTCTACTTGTAGGTTTCCTGTGGGCAGCTGTGGGACCGGATGGACCCTGAGTCTTATCTACCAGGGCTCTTCTTATATTCCTAGGAGTTGTGCCTAGCACATCTGAATAATCAAGAGTACCGTCTTCAAGCCTAACCCAAACTATGGGTGGAGCCGTCACCTGAAGACGCAGAAGAGAATGTCTTTTGCGTGTCCCTGACCTAGTCATCTGAAACTTGCCCTCAGGCGACAAACAGGTTGTTCCTGAATTCCTCTCAGGCAGGAGCAAACATTTCTCGAACAAGGTGGTGGTGTTTCAAAGAAAAGAAGTCCTCTCCGTCTTCCTTTCACAGTTTTATTTGCAGCAGGAACTATGGTCAAGGTCTTTTTATTTACACTGGTGTAGTAATAATATTAGACTTTGTACTTAAAGCTGCCCCCCCATAGCTATGTGAATTACCTCAGCTGTGAAGCACACAAATAGTATTTATTTTCTCCATCAGCCACTCATTGCCATTCCATGGACTTCAACTGCTTCTACAGTCCTGATGTGTTAAACTGGAAAGAAATCAAAAGAAAACCCTGCTTGCCAATCCTGATTATTTATTTATTTAAAGCTTTTCTGTACTGTCCTCTTACCAAATAGTCTCAGGATGGTTTTACAATAAAACAAAGTAAAGCACAGCATCCTTTCTATACAGTAAAACCCCAATTAAAATAGCAATTTAAACCTTAAAACACTGGAAAAATAAGGAGATTTTAGCCTGGCACCAAAAAGAATACTGTTGGCACCAGGTGAACCTGTCTGAGGAGTGCATTCCATAAATGGTGTGCCACTGCAGAGAAGGCCCTTCTCCAGGCAGCCACCCTCCTAATCGCCTTCAAGAAAGCTCCCAAAGGACCTTCAACACAGATCATAAGGGATGGGCAGGCACATAGAGACTCCTTTGGATATCCAGGTCCTAAACCATTTAGGGCTTTATAGGTCATCATCAATACCTTAAATTGGACCTGGACTTCATTTGGTAGTCAAGTGTAAGTGGTAAAGGACCAGTGTTATATGCACTTACCTGCCATGGCTGTAAACATCTTGGCTGCTCTATTCTGAACCAACTGAAGTATCTTGACTGTCTTTTAAGGGCAGCTCCACATAAAGCGTGTTACAATAGTCCATTCAGGAGGTTACCAGAGCATGGGTCACTGTTGCTAGGCTCTGTTCATCCAGGTAAGGCGCAGTTGATGAATCAGCTGAAGCAAAGTGCTCATCGTCACAGCAGCCACCTGGGACTCCAGGGACAACTCTGCGCCGAAGAGCACTCCCAAACTGCACACCCTGTCCTTTAGGGGGAGTGCAACCCTGTCTAGAACAGGGCTAAAATCACTTACCCTGACGGCTGAACCTTCTACAGGATTAAGCCTGTTTGTCACTGCCCCATATGCCTGTGCATCTCTGGCTAGTCATTTAGGGCAGTGGTTTTCAGCCTTTCGTATCTTAGGTCCCAACACTCTTAAGAATCTGGGTTCACCAGAATCAAAACAGCAAGCTCAATTTTTTCAGAGCAATTACTTATATAATTTATAGATCAGTCTCAAGAGCTAGAAGAGCAGCTAACACAATGTTAGACGGACCTTCAAGAAATTACTCTCTCTCACTGCCAGTTTGCCAGTGGTGACTAGAAATACTAATTACTTTCTTATACTTCCCACAAGGGTGATCAGGACCATGGCATCATCAAGTCACAAGGCTGTCTTCTTGATTTGAATCTAATCTTCTTCTGGATTTAGACAACACTTCATACACTGAAGCCTCAATATGACCAAGATTATGGAAAACACTTATTCGTGAATCTGCCTAGGGATGCTGCTGGTGGAATAGGCAGCATATAAATATTTTAAATAGAGTCCATGTAATGACATCAATATAAACAGAAAGAGAAAGAGACCCAGTATTATGAGTGATGGGACTGCACTGGTGAATGCTCATCAGCAAAAAGATAATGCATTTGGTAAGAAGTGAAGCAGTGATACCATAATACCATTTTTGCACAATGTTGTTAGTTGCAAAGTTGTGCCCTAATCAAGTCTAGTTTGTAGATGCTAGTGGGTGGCCTTTAAACAAATTTAATAAATACTTTCTGCCATCCATAAATCAGAAGCAAGAGTTAAACATATCTCATCACCTAGTAAAGAATGGGAATTTACACCAAGGAAGACGCTCCAACCTCTTCCAAGAAATACTAGGCAGTTATCCACCTGTGTAGAGCTCAATCTCAAGTCCCCTAGTTGGACTCTTGCTAGTTCTGGATGACAGGCAAGAGGCATCTTGAATGTATAAAGTGTTTTTAAAGCACTTAAGATCTTCTGAAGATTGTGCACAGCAGTGGCAACTTTATCCACACATCTGAATTATATTATTCTATATACACTTATCTGAAAATAAGATAATTAAGCTTATTAAAATTAAATAAGGCTTACTTCTGAGTGTACATGCAGACATTTTCTGTGTTCTTGTATACATCCAACTTGAAATACCCAACTTCACTGAAATAGTAAAATAAAATAGTGCATGTAGGTGCTGGTTTGTTTTCATTATAGAATTCTCAATAAATCTGTTTGCATTTCACTAAAATTGGGTGGCAGGGCATTTTTGTCAGAAGAGCTTCGTTATAAAATAATGGTGTATTTGGAATATAATTTAACAAGCTTACCTTGTGTTATTACAAATAAGCATGCCACCTACAAAAAGACACACACAGTTAGCAATTGATGTACTCCTTCATTTCATGATTCATAGGTTCAGAAACAAGTAATTAAATAGGTTCAGCTATAATAAGAGTTTCAATTCTTTAAATTGTTTCCCTTTAACTCATGCTTTCATCTTCTTGCATAATTTTTTGAAACATGACCTATCAATCTCTCAGGCATCCTTCTTGGAGATAATTATCTTGAAAATGCAAATCAACATATAAATGATCTGCTGAAACATAAACTAAGGCTTGGCAAAGGTTAGAACTGAAAACAAAACTGCTTAATGCCCCAGGATACAAACCTCAAGTATGTGTAACAAGCAGTGGAATTAATAATGTATAATATTTCTCAACTTAGTACAGCATTTTAAAGCACCTGTGCCCAAACAAAGGACCCATTTGCTAAGTGAAGGGATGCTGTTTATATCAAATTAGTGAAAGATAATACATTAAATGGTTTCTCGAACACTGTGCAATTAATATTGTAAGGTTGCTCACAGAGTTGCTTGCAGAGTAAAGTGGTGTGCAGGAATTTCTAATTGTGACTCTTTGATGGGCAGGGCTTCAGAAAGAACCAGCAGAACAAGCTTGGCCCTCTGTTGGCTAGGTTGGGTTCTAGTGCAGGCCAGATTAAGTCCATAGGCTGGAGGTTGCCCTCCTTTGCTCTGTTTAATGGATTTTCCGATGCAGACCCAGTTTAAAGGTGAGGAACCGTAATGATAATGTGCAGGCAGCTTGAAGTTTCTTTCCAAGTGTTTGTTCCTGGACAGCAGATTGAGCATGCATACAAGTCACAATCTTCCTTACCATAGTGAGATATAGCGGGCAACAAGAAGCTAACAGTTATTTTTTTAATTGTATTCTTGTGTATTTCCTTGTTTGTAACACAACCAGGGATCCTCATGGCTAATGGGGCACGACAAAAGTCCAGTAAAAGTCCAGTTACAGTTTTTGAAGCAACCAGAAATGAGCCAAAATGTTTGCACTGACCCAATCTATTCTGGAAACCAGAGTTTTGGCTAATTTCTGGGAATGATGCAGGATGTACTAGCTTCATGTTGCATTAGCAGTTGACCTTATGGGAACAAGAGAACAAGCAGAGATGCAGTGGCATCCAATGCTGCCCAGTATTTTTACTGAAGCTATAAGTAATTTCTAAATTTGCACCTACCTATAAATTAGAAAATTGAATTTTACAGAAATCTATCATTTGTTCCCTGATGTAAAAGTGGCTACCTTATGAACTTAAGGGTATCCTCAGAAACTGAACATGGAAACATTTTTGCAATCTGTATTTTGCCAGAATTTGCTGTATTTCCATTAAGCAGCTTTTTCCTATTTATCACTATGAAACAATCTGATATTATTCTCAAGGATATCAACATGTTTATTCGGCATTCAAAAGATGACTCTTTCAGCCTTGGAAATCAAGTCAGTGAAATTCTGCATGGCTTGGTTTTTGAAAAAGCAATTTTTCATAATTCTGCTTAGTAATCCTAAGCATATTAAAAATAGTTTCAGAATGCAATTAAGTGCTTATTTCCCTTCATTTATAGTTCAAACAGGTTTACACTGTGTGCAATGGGAGTTCCTCCCTACTAAGTGTGTTTAAGATTGCCACTCCAATCACAATCACATTTATTTTCAGATACCAGAAGTATGAAGAGCTAGGATTTTGTTTTTTGCAAAGCTCATCAAAATATTAAAATTTCTTTCACTGCATGTGGCAAATAAGGCAATTATTACCTTCTGTATTTTCTGCAGTCCAATTGCTTCACTGTTTACAATACCCACTCCAGTCTCACGTACTACAGAATACACCTTATTATCAACTATAATTTACTCAAGCATATCATCAGTGATCAACAATCCATCCTGGACAGTGACATTTTCCTCTCAGAGGCTTCGGATGGTAGGCCTGTACTTGATTATAGACAGCTGCTTAGCTTGGAAAGAATACTCATGAACACACCAGTCTTCACAACAGAGACAAACACGGATTGCCAGATCTGTTCACATAGTTATTCTGGCAATATTTTTGCAGAACCTAATGGACTGAAACAAAATTGAAAATTACTTTGATAGGCTAAAATACTGGGCAGAAAGTAACAGAATGAAATTTAACAGGGATAAGCCCACAATTCTGAATTTAGGCAAAAAGTAATCGAATATACAGGTATAAGCTAGGGATACCTGGCTTGACAGTATGTGTGAGAAAGAGCTCATCACAAGTGCAATATATGTCAGTGATGTGGCTCCAAGAAGGCTTCTCCAATAGACCTGGTTTGCACGTAATGGTGGCATTTGGCAACCAAATATAATGATCATGTATAAACTTAGGGCGCAATCCAGAATACTCCATGGTAATGCATACAAACCTCTGAACTCTGAGGCTTACACACAGTCAGTGCACAGAGGGAGGTGTGGCAGTGATCTTTACTATTGGCCAAAAATGTAGGCCACAGCAGCAGCAATCATCTTAGCCTGCTCCGCTCCCTGCTTCACAAGACCCCCCTTTTTGTCCTCTCTGAGCCATAAAGATACAGTTGGTGTGGTTCCTTCTGTTCCAGCTGCAAGGGGGGCTCAGCAGGAGCCCAGCCTTTGGGAAGCCTAGGACCAATACCTTCAATTGCAACGAGAATAAAGTTCTTAAAATGTTAAATAGAACACACACCATTCTACAATTTATTTTCCTTTATTTTTGACAACTTCAGTGCTTAAAAAATAAGAATATAACAATGCAAGTTATACAATAATGCTGCAGGATACAGCTTCTATTAAAATATATAAAATTTCAACAAAATACATAATTGAAAGATAATATGGTCTCTTGTTGAAGGGTTTAGACAAGAAGTTCTGAATTATAATTTGTTTACAGACTGTAAAAATACCATTTTACAATAAAGGCTCATAATATGATTCAATTGTGCTTTTATAAACAAAGAGAAAGTGACTAACACTTTCAGTTCCTCTAACTAGTCAAGATGTTTTGTAAAGGCAGTACAAAGGTCAGCATTTGGTTGTCTTAGGCTAAAAGTCTTATATCAAAAAGGTCATGGGATGAGAACATATCATTGCAAATGTTAATCTTAAGACACAGTGTGGACAGGTGTCTACTGTTCACAGTAATCCTTTTCCTCCAAAGAGAGAAAGCTTTAAATTGTCCACCACCTGACAAGTGGCTGCACCAGCAGTTCCCTAGTACATACATGTCAGCAGGAAAGGAAGGCAGCACCAAGTGGCAAAGAACAAATCTGCTTTATTTTCAGTAGTGCTCCATTTTCATGTCTGTCATTTTGAGTATAAATGTTTTTCATCAGAAAGTAGACACCAATTACTGTTCTAAATATTAATACTCAAAATATCTTAGCATTGCATGAAATTGGGATGCTTCTGCAATAAAACTATTGTCTTACCATGTTTTTAAAGTTCATCTGTTGTGTTTTAGACTAGATATAAGTTTGTTTTTGCATTCTACTCCTTTTATGAACTCAGGATCAGATTGTGAAGGCTGGTTACCACCACCATCCAGATGGTCCACACAAAATTCAGAAAACTTGTCCCTGACAAATTTGCTGCTAACAAATGATACATGAGAATGACAGTTATTTTAAAATTCAGGACAAATGGCATTTGCATCACTCAGAATTTTTTGTGGGATGCAACAAAATTAGATGGAGCTTGATTGGCTTTGTCATTACTGCATGCTGATCAATTTATTCTAATAAAGAAACTGAAAGCTAAACATAATTACTAAGATTTTTGCCTAGATTTACAGGTACTACACTTCCAACATTCTTTAATTTGAATATGTAGGACTTATGGGGAAATTGTTGAGTAAGATTGTGTATGTTCAAGTATGCAAGACTTTTCATAAATGTACAAGATTTAAATAGCGACTGACAATGACTGAAGTACTAATCTGTTTCACATTAGAATGTTTATACTGTTGTGAAAATAAATAAATAGAAAAATTGGGCAAAAAACTTGTAGGTAAACTTAGAGGCACTCTAAGCATTCCAATTCATAACTTTATCATATTCCTGGATTCTTTGTTTTATGTGAGAAAGTTTGTTCTTTAGATATTCACATCGTTCCTTTTTCTCCAGAAATGTGGGATCCTGCAATGAGAGAAATTTAAAAAGCAAATCTTATTCTGTGTAGGCTTTAGGTGTTAATGGGTTAAGTTAAGAAGGGTAGATAACTTTTATGATTAATTGCAGCATGAACTTTATTGGCAAAATTCTGGCAAAGGCCAATTTACTATTAAATGATTAAAAGAAAAACGGATTGTTACGGTCATGTATAAAATAGCAATCTTGTGGCATCTTCAAGATAAATCAATTTATCTTTGCATAAGCTTCTCACATTTCCTAAGATGCAAGAACTGTTAATCTCAAATTGGCAAATTTATATATTCATTGCTGGGTGTAGAGGATGCAATGTTATAGGAAACTGAAATGCAAAATGCTAGACACTGACACAGACATCATTGCAAAGGTGAACTCATCAAGCAGTGAACTATGATTTTGGACCTCCTTTGCCTTACTCTGCCCACAACACAAAGCATTGAATTTCTTGATTAATTGTTGATAATTGTTCAAGAAAAGCTACCTTAAGGCCATTCAGACAGTTTCCTGGAAGGTCAGACAGTGTTCTAGAAGGTTGAAATATTCTCTCACTAGTTTTTGAGAACTGCCATTCCTGATCTGAGGTTTGTGTCCATCTGTTCCTTCAGTTAGATACTGACCTGCTTCTCAGCAGGGCATTGCTGGCAAATAACAGCATATAGCGGGTGACCCAACTGAGGCTCAGGAGCTGCATGCAGTTTATTTTGTAGTTTGGCACCCACTTGCTGCTTGCCACCCAGAGCCACTGCCCGCAGCTGCCTGCCTGTTGTTCGCTGCCAGTGGGCACCTGCTTGCACCTCTCAGGCATCTGACATTTACCCTCTCCGGCTCTTCCTCTGAGCAAGTCTGGCCACCCCTGCCATGTAATATACTGGAAGCCTAGCTGGGGCATGAATTCCTGATATTAGGGGCAGCATTATTAGGTCCAATAACCGTGTTTATGGTGAACAGAGGTAAATAGAGTTGGGATACAATGAATTTGGATATGAAGGCTACATGGAAAACTGCTGAGTAACATCATTCAAATTCAAAGGAAGTCAGTATTTTTATGTAAGAAAAAGCATCAACTGGTTTGTGAAAAGAGAAGCAGTTCTGATTCAGAAGATCAAAACAATAACTCAGACAGGTGAGCAAGAATGGCAGTTGCACAACTTCTGACCTTAAAGTGATCATTCTTGAATTTCAAAAACGAATACCAATTCCCTGTGCTCACCATGTGCTCATGTCCTCTGTTATCACCTAACATTGTTTTGTGAATGCAGAATGTTTAAATATTTATCACTGCCTGTAGCTTTTTGCATTTCAATTCCCTCTGGACTAAATATCTATCTTTTTGATTATACTGAATTTCAGTGTTACACATTACATATCAACTGGGTTCATTGCTGGTGGCTGTTTTGCTTATTGTTTGTTATTGGGTGTGACTTATCCTTGGTTGTGAACCAGGATAAGGCACAACCAGGATTTCTTCCTGCCAATCGGTTGCTGTGTTGTCTAGACTCAGACAACAAAACCCACTGTGGCTGAAGCCCTAGAATAAGTGAGCCACTTGGCAAAAAGGGCTGCTGATGCTCTTGCCAATGGCTAGCTACAGAACATGGCTGATGGCTGTCCCACTTTGGCACAGCTGACAGAGGGATTGTAGCTCTTCTGTTGGAGAGCTGCCTGGCCCAGAACAGTGCTGTGGCCCAATGTTCACACCTGCTCCTGCCACAGAGGCTTACTCCTGGGTTAGCTCGGCAACAGTCTCCTGTTCTTTGGATGTCCTACTCTCAGGCAACAGCTTGAAACTGTAGATTAGCTTGAGGGTGCTGGCCTATTTTTGGGACAGCCCCCAAAGCTGATGCCTTGTGCCCCCATTCTGAGAGGAATATAATATCACACAAAGGAACTGTATTCTGCATCTCTGCATCATCAGCCTTTCTCCCCATCTTCTTCAGACTGAAGGATGTCCTCATTACGCACCCCTCCAGGATTTGCTAATAGAAGTAGTTCCTTGATAGACTAGGGTAGCTTGACGCACCAAGTTATTATGGAATACATAACCTGCAATTAGTCCTGATATGTGCAGGGCATCTGTGGTCACTATTCTGATTATTCAACCCTTGATCAGGATGATCACAGCATATTATTGTTGCTGTTATTAGCAGTAATAGTATTTCATTTCTATACCACCCCACAGACAAAGCTGTCTGGGTTGTTTACACAATATTATGCAAACCTAGCCACCAGGAGTAAACCAATCTTTAATTAGTAGAAGGATTAAGAGGTGGTTGTTTAAACCCCAATGGCTGGCTTTGCACAACTCCTCACAACCCCTGATCAGAGGTTGCATATCGAAAAGAGAAGCCACATGTGCCTTGCATGTACCAGGGCTAATGGTTAATTAATCCACAATAAATTGCTGTGTCATGGATCAGCTTAATTGGATATATTTTTCTTTTTACCTGTTTGGTATGGATTATTGGTTAAATTTGTTTGGCATATTTGGATCATGCACATTATAGTAGTACAGTTAACAGCTTTATTAACTAAATAAAAGAGATCTATGTAAAACCACACTTAAATAAATGAAAATATTCTTTGGAAAATGTACACAAACATTCATTTTAAAGCTATAAAAATGAAGGCACAATGGTATTGAACCACCTCTTTTTCATAATTAAGATTTTAGTCAAAGCCTGTTGTTGATAACCATGTAATTCCAAATCAGGCTACATAATACAGACTTCAGATTTTAAAAAATGAATGGAATGGGGAGTAAAGCTAGTATTTCCTCTCTGTGAACCTCACACAGTATCTGTGGGCTGTAAATTGAATACTTCAGATAATTACACTCAACATTCTGAAATATGTGAAAACCAGTCATTATAGCCTGTCCATTCATGACTTGGTTAAAACAAGGTATAGGTCAAATGTAATTAATATGACCTTCTTTAATCTTTTAGATACATACATTTCTATTAACTTATCACATTACGAATGAACAGTTGCATCTGAATAAAACCTCACCATTTTCTCTTAGTAGTCCATGTTGCTGAAGTGTCTCCATGATAGCATTTTTCTGTCCCTTTCCTTCAAAGCCACCCCCACAACTCACTTTTTCCTGTGAGCCTCTTGCATAACAATCCTCAGCCCACTCCCAAAGTAACTCTACCTAAATGCAACAAAACTGACATATATTCTTCCTCTTCAGCATCCCTACCTCTCTACCTTCAATTTCCTTGCATCAAAGTTTACACTCTAATCAAACCAGAGCAGCACCCTTTCTACTTCCCATTATTCTATAAATACCATACATATTAGTGATACTAACAAATGAATATAACACTTACATTTTTCTTCTTTTTATACTGAAGCAAAACATTTGCAATTCTCTCATGTTCCTGGAAAGGGGAAAAAAATCAAGCACCTTTAAAATCTTATGGCTCTTCTATTCACTACATATTTCTAGTCATGTTTTTCTGTTTCAAAAATGTTAGTCTGGCAGTAGTTCAATCTTGAGTATCATCCCAAAGGAGCCCCCTTGTCACTGGGCTGAAACTGGTTGGGGCCACCCAAATGGCACAGCCTATCACAACTAGGCTATGCCCATACCAAATATTACTGTTTCACTGTGAAAACACTGTGGCCCTTCTGATTTTGAAGGGAAGGCAGGCGGACAGGTAGCATGCAAAGGCTACTAACAGTAACTGTTAGCTAGCTGCTAGCAGTTTTCTTCTCCTCTTCCCACAAGCAGTGGTCTGTGGCAACAAGCCTAATGCCCCTGGACTTCTAAAAAGTAAATGATAATCCAAATGAGGTAGGCCACTGTCCCACTTCCTTGTACCCACAGCTGAATCTGTTTATGGGTGCTTTCGGACAGAGAAGTCCTAGCACGAACAATACAAAGGCACTGCATAGTAGTCACCCTTAACTGATCTTTTTCAGTAAGAAAAAAAGTGGAAGAAGCAGGAGGAAAAGATAAGATTAAAAGAGGAAGACAATGTCTGGACCTTCTGTAAAGTTCTGATAATATGAACAATATTTTACTTATTTATTCATTTAAAACATTTCTATGCTGCCCCCATCGCAACAAAGCCTCGGGGCGGCTCACAACAAAAACAAAAACATACAAAATTATGCAAAAACAAAGTTATACACTAAAAATATTAAAACCCGGTGCATCTCGGCTTAACAATTTTTTAAATCCTACATAATAAATTAACACTTAACATAAGTTTTAAATAAAAAGGTCTTAGCCTGGCGCCGAAAAGGAAATGACGACGGCACCAGGTGGACCTCTCTGGGGAGCGCATTCCATAGGTGGGGCGCCACCACAGAGAAGGCCCTCCTCCGGGTACTCACCCCCCTAATATCATTCACAGAGGGTTCCCGGAGAAGGGCATCTGTTGCTGATCTCAAGGGGCGGAAGGGCATATATGGATGCAAGCGTTCCTTTAGATACCCAGGGCCCAAGCCGTTGAGGGCTTTATAGGTCTTATGATGCCATCATGAAAGCCTTGTCTAGAAAAACCCTATAAGTAAAAGTTTTAAATTCATATTCAATGAGCTACTCACAAGAGTGTTTCCGGGATGCTGAGGCAGCTTCCTCATCAGTGCATCTAGTTCATCAAATTTCTTTAAGACAGCCTGAACCTCAGCAGAAAGCTCTTTATATTCAGAAAACTGATCATTAAAAACAGCTTTATAGCGGTCCCTTTCTTCATTTGTACGAATTGCTGGGTACTTTCTGTAAAAAAAGATTATAATCAATAGTGTAATATTAACTGTCTATCAATGCAAATGTATGTGTTAGAGTTCTGAAAAACTGCCAAATATTAAAAATACTGCATAAAAAATTGCTATACTCAGATTGGAAAAGAGTGCATCGATCAAGCTGATTGACAATTTCCCACACCATTGGAGAAAGCATAATTTGCTTCATTTCATCAAATCATTTGGGCAGTTGTCCAAGTCATTGCATTGCATTTCTGAGCTTGACCTGGGCCATGGATTAATGCACATAGGACTGTGTATTAAAAAGAAGGAACATCAGTGGTTCTCATTTTTCCTATCTTGCCTCCCTCAAATGCTATCAAGGAACCTGGGTTTCACCATGATAAAAAATGAAAGACATTTGTATATTTACAGCTATTTTGATATTATATTTATCATTTACAGTAAGCTTTATAGGCATTAAAACTGAAGTAGTGCTGTTGAGAGTATATTGTATTGCTATGGCTTTAAAACACAAGCAATTTCTTTAAAAGTTAAACAAGTTACTACAAGCATGTCAGGTCACAGATCCATAATCCATGGCAGGTTGGCAATAAACAGCACGTTACAGTTGCAGGAGATATGGGGTAGAAAGAATTCTTAGCAATTGCCTTGAAAAGCCCACATACTACCCAGACCACTTATACATCCCACCATTGGGATCAGATCAGGTTCATCCACTGGATCAGATCATGTTCACTGGTGAAATTTCAAGTATTGTTATTTCCCAAATACTTAATCCCTGGTGATTCAGACTCAAAATCTAAACAGAAATATACATTCTCGATTTGAACCCATTAAGAAGCCTACTTTGTATGGTATATTGGGGATGCTTTACAGCTTATACAGAAAACTAGAACAAACACAAAAATTTCTTAATTTGAGTTGCACTGAATTAGCATGCTAAACCCACTCACTCATAACCAAAAATTAAAATCAGCAAGAAGCATGCATGAGCAAAATACACTGGACAGTTAAGAGAACTAAAGTGAGGTAAAATATGTCTCTTGGCAGATTTTTAAGATGCATACAATGGAATTATCATTCAGAAACCAAGCATCACAGTAGGTGTTGAAGAAAGATACTCACGCTAAATAGTCTGGCATCACTATGGGTTTAGGGATATGTCCTGCTGGTATGTAGCCATTGATTAGTTCAGGTTTCATTTCCACAGGTTTCAATGTCTTTGGGCTGATTGCTACTTTGGGGCTGTCTTTTTCATACTACATAAAATAGATAGAATGGTCAGTTTTAACACAACCAACTTCAAATAATACATTGCTTAGCATATTTACCATAGTCCTGAAAGGGGTTGCACGCCCTCTTAGGGACAAGGTCCGCAGCTTGGGAGTGCTCCTCGACCTGGAGCTTTCATTGGAAGCTCAGGTGACAGCGGTGGCGAGGAGCGCTTTCCTTCAGCTTCGGCTGATTCATCAGCTGCGCCCCTACCTGGAGTACGACTGCCTGGCGACAGTGACAAGCGCGCTGGTGACTTCCCGCCTTGACTTCTGTAACGCGCTGTACGTGGGGCTACCCTTGAAGACGGTCCGGATACTTCAATTGGTTCAAAATAGGCTGCTGGCGGGAACTGGGCGTTATGTTCACATGACTCCAGTCCTCCGTCAGCTTCACTGGCTTCCCATTGAAGTCCGGGCCCAATTCAAGGTGTTGGTGATGACCTATAAAGCCCTAAACAGCTTGGGCCCTGGTTACCTGAAGGAGCGCTTACATCCATATATGCCCGCCCGCCCCTTGAGATCTGCGGGAGAGGCCCTTCTCCGGGAACCCTCCATGAAGGAAATTAGGAGGGTAGGTATTCGGAGGAGGACTTTCTCTGCGGTGGCGCCCAATCTATGGAATGCGCTCCCCAGAGAGGTCCGCCTGGCGCTGTTGTTATTTGTTTTACGGCGCCAGGCGAAGACCTTTTTATTTAAGCATCATTTTAATTGTTAATATTATTTGATTATTTTATCTGGCCAGGGTGACTTATTTTATATTGTTTTTTCTTGTATTTTAACCTAATGTTGTGAGCCGCCCCAAGGCTTCGGCGAATGGGGCGGCATAGAAATGTTTTAATTAATAAATAAATAAATAGGAATGCCAGGGTTTGTGATGAGCAGCGCAACAATTCTCTTTGAATTGTTCTGTCTTTCTCAAAATCAGGGAAGTGATATATTGGGAAGTCTGAAACTATTTCACTCCCTGCACACCCCATTCCCAGCTGTGGTCAATGATCTGCTGTAAAAAAAAACTGTTTTGCATCTATGGTGCCTTAGTGGATAGAGTGCTGGACTGGAATTAGGAAATCTAGGTTATAGACCACACTAAGCCATGAAGTTTGCTGAGTGATTGTGATTCAGTCAGAGACTTTCGGCCTAACCTACCTCACAAGATTGTTATTGTGAGGATAAAATGGAAAGAAGAACCTTGTAAACCACCTTGGGTTCCTTGTAATAATAGTAGTAATGATGATGATAATGATAATGAGGTCAAGCCTAGATAGAAAACCAGCTAGATTTTTAAAACTTTTGGCAGGACACCAAAACCTGTTATATATTCAAAATGCTTTATAAACCATCAATTTCATGATGAAGTAATCAGCAAATGTAGCACTAATACAACAACTCTATACATAACGTAAAGATTCATTTAGCATAGCCCTCACTGTCCTCATCTTTATAATAAGCAGCTATAGGAAGTGAACCTGCGGTTCCGTATTTCAATGAGGGTTTTATCACACATGTAAAGATAAGCAATATGAATAAAACAGACATTTTATAAAAATGTTACTGGCATACTGAAAATTTCTTTAGGACTAACAATTATTTTTGTACTCTGTGGGATGGTGTCTATGCAGAGGTTTTATGTAGGATCTAAGCAAAACATGCTTAACCTTGTAGAAAGAGTGGTAAATAATTAGACACATAGTTAAAATATCAGACAAAGACACCCAAGAAAATCCCTAAACACCACAAACCAGAGAACCTGTACTGCTAGAGCCCCAGCATGACTTTATCCATGCAGCCATGCAAGAAGTGCATGATGGCCACATGCTGAGTAACAACATTTACAGTGTTACAGCTGAATCATTAACAGCCACAAAATGCCAAAGTCCAATACACAGCATTAGAATGGAAGGCAGCACACCCTTTATATTTATGTGAAAGGCTGCCACAGTTCTTTCAGTTATAATAGAAATGTTCATGAACATACAACAACCAACAACTCCAGAATAATACCACAAATGTTTCTATAACTTTCTACAAAGTCTGCTTATCACCCCAATGTATTACACAGGTGCTAAAATAAACAATCAGGGAAAAGAGTTCCCACTGATCAACATTTCTATCCACAATAGTCAATCAGTTCACCAATAAACTGGGCCAGAATCCCACAGATTCACTTGCCAATAGAGGTTATCCTTCTCCCCTCTAATGAATGTCTCTCCCTCAGAGCCCCCTTCCCATTCAACCTTTTCAAGAGGCAAACATTGTTTCATTCCCTGCAAAAACCATTCAAAAGAGAAACCATCCTAAGGTGGTTGGTAGAAGGAGCAAGCAAAGCAAACATTTATGGACCTGTCCGGAAATATTTGTAAAGCATCAGTAGCCACAGAAGCAGTCCTAGAAATATTAACTTCCTCCCATAGTATGCCATTAAAAAAAAAAATAAGGTAGCCCAGACCTTGGTTAAGCACTCAGTGATATAGATATAGCAAATACATGCTTTTTTCTTACCATTATTTTTGGTGTGGATGATTGGGTCTTCATCTAATAAAGAAACAAAAATAGAAACTTTCATCATACAAATACAGGCTGCAAAAGCCTTAAAATAAAGCATTTTACTAAGTGACAATAGTGAGTTCATGCTTAGTATTTACGAATGGCAGAGGAGAAATCATGCAATTTTTTAGTCCTAGCACACAAGTGCAAAATATGATAGTAAAAGCATTAAATGTCTTTCAGAATCCTGAAAATACCCACTTTCTAAAAAGTAACATTTTGGCTGTTACAAATAATATTACTTAGCAAAACTACTACTGTTTCATTTCATCACCACAACATTGTATAATTATCTATAGCTACCTGTCTTCAGCTTTCTTCAGTCCTAGCCAATGGTTATGAATCCTGGAAATTGTAGCCAGTAACATCTGGATAGCATCGGGCTTAAAAATGCTCCTCTCTGCTGTTGCAGGAGTATTTCTGATGGCTAACAACAAATGCTGACTAGTGTGTTGCCACAACTTATATCACTTCAAATTGATTCAAATGTTATGCAGGTCCAGCAATAAAATTAGAGCTGCTACACTAGCAAATTACTATTTCTGTAACAATGCTTCAGAAAATACTCCTGAGACAAAATTGTGAGAAGGCTTAAGTCCAAAAGGTTCATTTACATGACACCCAAAGGCAGTTTCACCACAAGAAGACTAGCACAATTACCTGCTGGATATTTAGCCGTAAGTGTATATAACTGGAACTGCAACTAAAGCAAAGAATTGATTTATTCTATTTGCTAAATTTAGGAATGTATTATAAGAATATATTTTTTGCATTATCTAGCTGCGCTGACTAATTTATATCTGGTCTACACAAAGGTATGTGAAAAAATCTGGATCTGTCATAACACTTTTTTAAAGAGCAAATTCACTGCACTTCTATTGAGCCAGCAAACACTTGATAGAATCAACATGAGTGCTGTTACAAAGATGAAATTACATGTTTGAAAAGGCACTAAATATGCACCAATCACATCCTCCAACTTAGGGAATTATTCTGTAAAGTGAAACAACCAGTAAGGTACTAAAAAGCAGTTGGTATAGGACAACTTATTGCCTGGAAAAATGCTATACAAGCAGTTTGTATTTGGGTACTCACTGTTTAAAACACCATACCTGAGGGCTATTTTTCTGTTAGTGAAAACTTCCAAGAACTTGTTTACAAAAAACAGAGTGACAAAAATACTAGTGTTAAATAACTCAACTGTCATGACTCTTGTATTTATTTACTTTGGTTTGGAAAACTCTCCTTTCTTTGCTTTCCTCTACTCAATTAGGGAGAGGAGAGCACACCAATACATTCCTCTTTTAAAATTCATCCTGACATAAGTTTAGAACAAAACAGGGGATGGGGGTTCAGAGGTGAGAGTTAGTTGGAAAAAACACAGGTTTTGTGCTTCTCTCTAAATCCAGATAGTGGAAAATATAAGACATTTTCCATTCCATTATTAAGAGCTCCATTGGTGATCTGCTGTGACACTGTAGCTTTTGGAAAGGTAGGAGGGTCTTCTCTGCCCCTCCTCATCTTTCTTGAAGCTTGACACAACAATTCTGGATCTTTAGGAAAAGTGAAGATGAGGAACCTGTCTGCAAAACATACTATAAACTGTCTAAAGCAGAAAGAGGTGAATCCTCAAAAAGACAACCAATCTTCTAAGCATTCTAATTGTTGCAAGTATACCAACAGTAAAATGGTTGATTAAATGTGTACCCAGACATCACATGCATGGATTTCAGAGTGGTAAAATCATGTCCATTATTCAAGTTCTTGTTGTACTAAGAGAAAAAAATTACCAGAGATCAGTTCTTCAACTAGTAAAACCCATGAATGCATACCTTTTCACTTCCAAGATTTATGCAAAAAACTGTCGAGGTTAAGAGACTTTGTTCAGCTCCAAAGGCTTTAGATCAGATCCTTGTTTTAGTGATGTAACTTTCTTATGCCTGTATGCACCATCCTTGCATCACTTCTTCCTTTTCCTCATTTACTGGCATGCCATAATTCAATACTTTCTGGGTTAACTATGGTTTCCCATTATGTCCTGTTGTTACTTGAATCAGAACAAACCAGGTTCTTAGGCCAAGATCAAAGTGTGGTTTAATATCCTTGTCTGCCTCGTCCTGGCTCATTATTAACACATTTTGCCAGTTTAAACATAGCAGTATACTGGCTGCTGCCTAATGAGAATTGATGCAGGAAGAGGCATGTAGGCACCATGGAGCACACCTCTTTTCTCCTCCTCAGTCACAAAACTTGCAGGCATCTCAACTAAATAAGCAGGTACACGTAGAACTGAACAAGATCTGTGAATCAAATGCAGGAAAGAAACAACTTTATTTTCTTCAAAACATACCTGTTGTTCCATGAACTCTCTATGCCTCCGTGCAGTTTCATGTCTCCATAATTTTAGGCAAACTATTGCACCAATCAGATAAATGATCATTGTTGCAAACAAGAAGATAATTCCAGCAGTCTGCCCCCCTTCTATTCGACAAAATGCTGCATTCAGTGGTGTGTTAAATAATGGGTAGTAGCAAAGTCCTCCTCTGTTAGCATCATTTACATAGACAATAGCAGCAGACATATACAAAATAAACAAAACAACATTGATTCCAAATTCAGTCAGAGGCCACCAGTGGGAATCTAGAAGAATAGTCCTGTAATACATTGACATGCCAAGTGCTAGAAGTATAATAGTCACTATCCAAGCAAGTGCTGCCACAACAAGAACAAAGGGAGTTTTAGGGCCACTATAATAATAACTTCCATACATGCTGCTTGCCCCATAACTATATGGCTGTGAGTAGCCATACATATTGTACCACTCATTGTCCTTGTGAATGTAAGCTGTGATGCAGGCAAATACAGCGGCACCCAAAAGCAGTTCAACAACACCCAAGATCCTGAGCAATCCTGCCCAGGACTTCATGTAAGAGTATCTCAGATTAAAAGCCTCAACTTTCTCACTGTAAGTCAGAGCTGTTTGAGTATGCCTTCCAAGAGAGCCATAGGAATCCTGAGGAAGTATGGCTTCAGCTTCTTTGTGTGAATTGTAGCTTCCCCCGGATCCTCCATATGGATCCTGATAAGAGCTTGGAGGTGATGTATGGGCTGGTCTCACTGGAGTAAGAGTTGGAGAAGATGGTGGAGAACATTCAGCTCCACCAGAAATTGCAGATACTGGCTTGCGCCATTCAGGTTCATCTTTTTTCCCTTTGAAGAAATTTTTCCATGAGTCTGGAATGAATTTTCGCACTGGCTTGAGATCAGAGATTTCAGCTGGTTCTTCACTGTCACTTGGGTAAAATTCAGGCCCAAAGGGTGGCTGAAGGGGAAGAGGTGGTGGAGGTAAGGGATCCGCATTCACTATCTGTTCAGCCTCTTGAAAACTCCTTTTGGTACCTTCTTCTGAAGGAGAATCCACATACACTTCATCATAGTGGACAGATCGACCATGATGTCCTGGTCTACGCTCTGAGGTTGTATTCCTTGAGGACATTTGTGACCTTTTCACCTATTTCAAAAGTCAAAATGAAGATTAAAGGTAACTGTTGGTTTTCTGGCTTGTTTTCTACAGCAGGGTCAACAAGAAGACTGAGTGTACCAACAGATGGAAAAATAAACTAAATGTGAGTGATGAGCATGAAAACTCTAAAATACATTATTTCTTTAAAGAAAGTAATATTATCCCTACAAATTCCCATTCCAGCTTTAGGAGTTCAAGATTTTTAACTAGTTTGGATTGCTTTCAGTTTAAGATTAATGAAAGTAATAAGTCCTGTTAAGTCTGATATGTGAAACTATCAGAGATGGCAGTATTTTTAGTAAATAAAGACTATACTCAACTAGACCCACAGAATTAGGAGTTCCAGAGCAGATGGCATGCCTTACAAAATAGCTTGAAACCTTAACCTAGTATTTCCCACAATGGCACCTTTCACATTTCTTGGACTGCAGCTTCCATAATGCTGGCTGAGATCTATGGGTGTTGTAGTCCAATATGTCAGGAGAGCACCAGCTTGGGGAAAGCTCTCTGAAGAGGCTTTAAATATATGTCTAACAATTACTTCTCTCCCTCTCTTCTTTGCCAATATTTGTTCTAGAACAGGCCCAGGACCTCGATCTGAGTCTGAAATCTGAACCAGGGCCTCCGACACTTCCTCTACAGTCCAAATGAAAGCGAAAAAATCGTAGGTGCTATACACATATTCAAAACAATGACGGTTTTAGAGCAGAGACTCAGCAGGCGACATAGACAAGGAATAGGAAAGATAGATCCTACGGTTAGCCATGCTTATACAGGAAAGAAAACAACCCTGCACTCCACCCCTTTTCCCATACACCAAGGAGGGCTTTGCATGAACTTTGCTACCCAGTGGAGACAAGGAAAATGACGCCCACGGACACGTACCTGGGCGTCAGCCTAAAATGGTGCTCCGGAGGTTGCAATCCTATGCGCGTTTCCTGGGAGCAAGCCCCTTTAAAGTAAACGAGATTTGACCCTGTCAACCCGCAGAGGATTGCATTATAATGTACCTCTCCGAGATGAGAATCCCACAAAAACTCCGACTAACTTCTCGCTTTCCTCCTCCGTCCTCTCCTCTCCAGGGCAGTGCCCGCACACGCCACCACCCAGACCGCACGCCGGCCCCGCAACCACTCGCCGCCGCCGCCACACCTCGCGCCCTCTCGCTGCCCTCAACCGCGCGAGAGACGAAGCGCCGCCTTCCTCTTTGCAACCTCAGCCGCTTTGCTTTCTAGGCGGGAGCGCTACTGCAACTTCCTCGATGCAACTTCCCCGGTGGTTTCAGGAGCGAACAGCGAACCGAAATGTCCCGGGAATGTCGGGAGGAGGGCGGCAGCGCATTAGAGCCGCGCTTCCTTCTTCCCTTCCAGGCCAGGTTTCTTTCCCCGACGGCCTGGCCGGAGACCAGCGTCCCCTCCCGCACAGTCCTGCGCCGAGTCCTCCCAAGCAAGGCGCAGCCTACTTCGCCACCTGCCTCGCCCGAAACAGGTGAGCGACTCTCGTCTGAGGCCGCCCCTGCCGGCCGAAAGGCGTCTTGGTTTCGCTTCAGGGAGACTCTCTGTTGCCTTCCGCCCGCGCACTCCGGTTGTGTGCGGTATCTCGCTGTGAGGAGAGGGAATCTTAAAAGAGCAAGGCACAATCCTGTGCAGGTCTGGACGGAAAAAAGGCTTACCACTCCTAAGAGGTCTCATAAGATTGCGATTGAATTTCTAGGAGAGTAAAACAGTTGTCTCGATTCTGAAGCAAACATAAATACATCGAAATTCCCCGCACAAAAGAATGCATATAAGCAGGCAGTCAACGTGATAGATGCTAGGAGTTACCCTTGTTTTTGCAGCTGGTGGGTTACAGACCTGGGCCTAAAATGTAGCAAGACTGTGGGGCTGCTAAAATTTACACAGAGGCACATCAAGGGGTGCATACCTATGGCACTGCAGGAGGTTGTGGACATCAACCAGCTGTGCCTTAGTCATGCTGGCTGGGGCTGATGGGAGTCCAATAGCATCATGACTACCTCAGATTCTACATTCATGTTACATGTTATAAAGAGGTTATGCTACCGTTTGGAAAATAGATCTAAAGCACAAAAATGGGCAAATAGGATGGTATTCAAAACACATGTGTTGTAGGTTATACATTAAATCAGATGAGGCAAAGCTCAAACTTAAGTAGAAAACACTGAGTTACGAAGGAGTAAAGATGTATAGCTCTCCAGGTGCTGCTGGGCAACAACTCCCATCATTCCTGTCTAGCATAGCCAATGATGAGAGATGATGCATGTTGTGGCACAACAACTTGTTAGACCAAAGGAGGCTGAGGGTAGTCAAGGGCACTGGTAAGATAAGAGCCATCGGGACCATCTTTTTCATCTATAGCATCCCATGCCACAGAAAGGATAACCTAATGTAAGTGTACTTTAAAATCATGAATGAAGAGTAGGGGCAAGATCATATATCCACGCTGGTATACAACATCATCAGTAATCCATTGCAAATGGGGCTAATGGAGTGTGCAGGGAAAAGGATATAGAAACAGGAGGATGAGAATGGTATCAGTCTTCCTAGCCACACAGAAAAGTAATCTTTGGAACGCAGCATCAACTACTGAGAACATGCTTAATCCATTCATATGCATCTCCACTACAAAATAGCTCTTTGCAGAAAGCAGTAGCACTATACAAAAGTCTAGTTTATGTGCTTCTATTCAGAAGTCAAAAGGACCAGTTGATGCAGGAGGAAATGTGAGAGAACATACCTGCAAAGCTAAGTCGATGTATGGGAGATTGAGAGATAAATCTTTTGTGGGTAGAATTAAAAAACTAAAACTTGAAGAACATGAAAAGGTTTTTAAAAACAAACCCAAGTAGGTTTAATATAGTATGTAAAGATGTAAATAACCTTACCTTCCTCCAATAGTTGGTTTGGATTCAATGAACGAACATTCCCTGCAGCCCCCATTCATAGAGGTTTGAATGCTTGTACATCCTTCCCCAGCTATGACAATGTCTGTGGTAGATCAGGAGATAAACAGGCAAGGGTAAGTTCCTAATCTGCCAATTTCCTCCTTCCAACTTTCTTAACAGGGGCTGCTGAGGTATGTGTGCAGGTAAACAATGTGAAGTGTAATGGAGGGGAAATGAAACTGCAGGACACAAGGGACATCTTGAATAAGGATAGTAAGCACAGCTGGGAGTTTTGAAGGGCATGCAAGTGAGGAATTGCAAACACCTGCCTTAGGTAGAAGGCCTTTCTTAGTTATACCTTACATGAAACATCTACTAACCAGCATTAATGGACAATATGAATATATTTAGGAAGCAGCCCCAACATGCAACGAAGTGAAATACAGCAATCCCTCTTGACATTCCCTCATCTAAATCTTATTGTCCCTCAGCCAACACATCGCAGATATTGGATTCCTCCATTTTCTTGGAAACATTACCAAAATATTCTTCGGAAAAGGTATTTGTTGTTTTGTGTCTTCAAGTTGCCTCCAATTTGGGCAACCCCATGAATGCCTGGCCCATACAGCCCTGTTTAGCTCTCATAAACATGAAATCAGTCCATCTCACAGTTGATCTTCCTCTTCTTCTGCCTTTGACTTTCCCTAGCCTTCTCCAGTGACTCTTACCTTCTCATGATGCACCCAAAGTATGACAGCTTTAGTTCCAACAGTTTTACTTCAGGACAAATTCTGGCTTGATTTGATCTAGGACCCATTTGTTCATCTTTCTGTCAGTCCAAGGTATTTACAAAGCTCTTCTCTACTATCATAGTTCATAGGCATCGATTTTCTTCTGTTCAGCTTTCTTCACTGTCCAGGTTTCACACTTAAAGATAGTGACCAGAAATAGTGTGGACAATCTTGGGCTTGGTTTACAGTGAAATAGCCTTATACTTGATCTTTTCTAGTTCCTTCATTGCTGCCCTTCCAAGTCTTTGTCTTCTTCTAATTTCTTGGCTGCCGTCTCCATTTGAATTAATAATTGAGCCAAGTCATTAATTTTGGCTTTGTTGACATTGCAGTTGTGTCATTCTTCTGTAGTCATGATCTCTGTTTTCTTGATGTCCAATTGCAGTCCTGCTTTTGCACCTTCCTTTACTTGCATCAGGAGTTGCTTCAATTCATTGCTGTTGTCTGCCAGTAATATGGCATTATCATATATCTTAACTTCCCACTTTATCTGCCTATTTTCACTCCTCCTTCCTCTGACCCTAGTCCATCTTTTCTTATGGTAAATTATGCATGCAGATTGAACAGATAGAGAGATAAATGCACCCTTGTCTGACAGCTCTGCCTATAAGAAGTCATTCTGTTGCTCCATATTGTGCTCTAACAGTTTCTTGTTTGCAACATAGGTTACATATCAGGACAATCAAGTGCAGAGGCCCACTCGTTTCTTTCAGAGTAATCCATAACTCCATCTAATCCACACAGACTTTAATTTAGTCTATAAAGCATAGACTGATCTTCTTCTGAAATCTAAAATACATATTATAAGCTTCTGTTTTATAAGAATTAGGGGAGGAAACAGCAAGATTTACTTACAAGCAAGGCATTCAAAAGTTTATTTACATTTAAATAGTACACAACCCAAAATGTAAATGCTTTGTACATTTTCCCCTAGTATTGCAGGTGTGGGTTAAACTTGTGAAATGGTCACAAAACAGTTATCTCCCAAATATCTGAAAAACAGAGGTATAAAAATTCCAAATAAATGCCTTTCCCTATAATATAGATTTTCATGTCACCTTATAGGGAAGGAAAACAAAATCTTATATTGCAGTATACATAGCTGTGGCCTTGGCAGAATTGGGCAACTTGTGCCCTTCCAAAAATTTTAGCCTATACCACCTGTAAGCCATAGCCAGTATAGCCAACGGTAAGGGCTTATGCAAATTATAGGCCAAAACATCTGGAGGGCCATAAGTTGCCAACCCCTGCATTATAGTGCAAAATCAACTAGGGGACACCCAGCACTCTGCTATCATCCATATTCATTACCCAAAGTGAATTTATAACAAATTAGCAACGACCTGCAAAAAAAAACCACATTGGTAATTCTCTGTACATTAAAATTCTTACAAAATATCAGAACTAACAAACACTATCACAGCTTTTGGGTTGCCATTTTATAACTTTCAGTCACTATCACATTCCTCTATGTTTAGATCATCTTCCTCCATGATTGCTTGTGCTGTAATGGGTTGAGGTTGACTGCCTGGCAGTTCATGTCCACTGGACTGACTGAATTGATGAAACAAGTCTCCTGGTTCATTTTCTTCACTGGTTTTGTTTTTCTGAATTTCGATAAGCTTGCTTGGGGGTTGCATCTCAACAAAATCCCCTTCATCATCACTATCCAGGACATTTATTGAACAATCCTTATCAGTAAGAGTTTCAAGCTTCAGCCTGTAAAACAATAGCAATAAAGCTTCAGAAATATTAAGAATTTTCTTTCTCTCATGCAGAAAAGTTTAAGTATCAGTTAAATTGTCCCTTCCATACTGACGTTTATACCAAGTTTTAAAAAATTAAATGCTATTGCTTTTTTATTGCTAAACATTCTAGTAACCCCAAAACAATTCACATTACTAGAGCTCTCACAACCCACTTAGAAGCTTCTAAACATAATTTCTAAGGATGCAATACTTACCATGCCTAAACAGAAAAAAATCCTGCTACTGCCAACTTTTCCCATCCAGCATGCCCGGAGTTGGGGGCCTTTTTTCTGTCTAAACGTGCATATAATAGCATACTATGTAAAATAAGACGATCTCAGATTTAGGAGGAAAGAACTGCAGATTAGGACAGAGTGCTAAGCTTCAGCACTTTACCCTAGTATCTATTCTTTTCCCATAATAAATGAACTGCGATCAAAAGGTTTGCTACCATTTCCTCTCTCAATGACTTCTGGAGTTAAAATTACAAACAGTATTTCTCAGGCCCAGCAATTAAGACCTTTTTACCTATAGGTAATTCTAGAAAAGAGACAATTTTATATGCCTAATGATTAATAAATTTCAAAATAAATGATGCTCAGGTTTCTAGAAAAAAGACTTGCTTTATATTTTACTACAGATGGTTGTATTTTGTTTTATTGTTATTGTAAGCCCCCCAATGAACTTTGTTATGAATAAGTTTACAATGTGGATTATTTAAATCACTTTCCTGTTTTACTAACCCCTGCACAAACCTCTTCTCTCCACTGATTCTTATCCCATCAAAAAATCATTAAAAAAGAGGAGTGGGGCTGTACAATCCCAGCTGCTGAAAGCCTGATGCACTCAGGCTGGAGTTAAGTGGGATGGAAAGAAGGAACACTTACAATACAAAGTACAGGACCTAGACACATGAATCCATGCTATTTCTAGGTTAAAATATTAGGGGAAAGGACTTACAGTTTCATAAGCTCTGAAAAGCACTATGGTGGGGAACTGAAGCATTAAAAATCTTTTCTGCTCTATTGAATTGTATTTCAATGCTGCTGTTGGCTACCTTATACCTTCAAGATATGATGATACATACATGTAAATAAAAACCTAAAATAAGATTTAACAATTTGCCTTTCATACAGCGTCTTCAAAAAAAAATCTTGATGTTTACCTTCTGAAGTGCTTCTTTAATGGCAGCCTTCCAACATCTTGAATAAAAGTAATCTGAGCTGAGAAAACACAAAAATTATTGCTGTAAATCAAGTTTTTATTTGAATGTAAAACACTTCTACCTTCTAATTTAGCTAAGACAATTATGTATGCATTGAACACATATACATATACAAAGCCATTCGTGCAACATTATTGTAAGCTGTCCTGAGATTTCTGTATAATAGGACGGCATACAAAAGCGTTTAACAAATAAATAAACATCGCTGTGACTATGAATTAGAGGTACATGAGCTTTTCAGACCTAAAAGCCACATCCAGTATTGACCAGAGGCCTAGTATGCACAACACATGCATGGAGGAAGAGGCTCTGTCCTTATCACCCTCTCAATCCTGTGCTAGATTACTAGAGGGGAGGAGGCAGACAATTCTGGGGTAGCTTACAGGAGCACTAAAGTCTCCTCCCCTTCCCAGTGCAAAACATCTGAAGCGAGTATGCTGTGATTTTTTTCAGGGCTTCATCACCATCTCACATTGTGCTAATACCAGCACTGTAGTAAGGTCTAATTTCAGTAAAAGCTGTTTTAACTGCCTCTGTTTAGATTCTAGCTTGTAAGAATTCCCAAAACTTCCCAATATGTTTTCTAGACAGAAATGTAACTTTAAAGATACCTTGATTTCTCATTGGATTTGTCAGCATGGCAAGGTAAGGTAATAGCTGGGTCTGAAGACATACTGGTGGCAAACAGAAACTTGAAAAGAGGGATTTCGCAGCAATGCAGTTTTCTTGATACTTCAAGAAAACAAACAAGTATTAACAGTTAAATCATAGACTGTCTCTCTAGCTTTAGAGAAGTATAAATATATAATCTAAGAGGTTTTTTAACATTATCCTGTTGAACTGCTTTGTAAAAATAGCTAGTGAGATGTGGTATAATAGGTAGCCTAGATAATTTCAAGATCTTAAATCTTCAAGGTATGTCATTTAAACAGTCATTAACTCTTTTAGTTTTTTTGTAGATCACATAAATTGATGGCACCATCATTGGAGCAAGTGTATTTTTCTTAAATTGTTAAAACCAGGGCCTTTTGCAGTGTCACAGGGGTTGCTGGGATTAACATATATGTGAGATCAAATGTTGCTTCATGATCGTCTGTAAATAATATATTTCCTTTTGGGTTGTTTGCACAGTCAAATTGGGCCTAGATTATCCAGTGGGGATGAGTAATCTAAAATATTTTCATTTGCTAGATGAGACAAAACAATCCCTAAATCTTATGAATTAGCTCAGTAATCTTGTAATTGAACTGTTTATCACAAACAGACCAGTTAAGGCTAACAGTACTGTTAGCCTACATCACACATTGAATAATAGCAACATTAAAACATCTGAGCTTAATTTGATTCTATAGTAGATCAGTATTTCTAAGAATGTAACTTGTACTTGACATTTAAGACAAATATACATTTTGACAAAACAGAAAAATAATTACCTTTTTATTAATTAGAAACCACTGTGGTTTATGAAGGGGCCGAAAGCCCATTCCTCCTTTGCTCTGGGCAAAGGCTCTGGCTCTGTTTGAATGCATCACACCCCTTGTGGCCACAGATGCACTATACTCCCGGAGTGTAGGTCGTGCCTACAGCGAGTGATAAAGTTGTAGAATTGCATGAAATCTTAAAACATGATAAAAGATGAAGGATGCAAGTCTGCTATAGAGTGAGTGTTTATTATTACTGGTTGAACTACCATGTTCTACACCCTACAGAGCAAGGCACTTGAACATGATTGAATGTAAATGCAAAATTTCATGCTTTCCCTCCATTACTGTCCTAGAAAATGTACTTGAAGAAAAGCTGTCCTTTTAATTATATGGTTTTATCTCATCCCTGAAGCTACTAATCTGGTGAATATTAATTAATGCACAGATATCCCACAGTGGGAATTTCCATACCATACCACATAGTCTGTTGGTTCAGGTTCTGGCCTAGTGTTGACACATGAAAGCAAACGTTGAAGAAATATTTGTTGCGAGTTAAAAACATTAAAAAGGAACATGGAAATCAGACCACTCGCCAATCAGCTCTAAGCTGATTCAGGAGATACTTTTTCTTTGGGCCAAGTGGTTTGGTAAAGAGTAAGCTTTAAAGTTATTACTTCAATTGTAAAGTTATATACAATAAATTTTAATGACTTAACTAATTTATACATTTATTTAAATTAGTTTTCATGCAAGACCATGCCAAACTCATTAACTTTGTATTTTGTTTGGTTCCAAATGTTTAGTTAGCCATGGTGACATTTACTTTAAGCTTTTATAAATTAAGCTATGAAAATTAAGGAATAAACATTTTATTTGATCTTTAACTTACATCCCACCTACTGCAAAGGAAATCAGCAGTACTCAAATATTCACTGGCTCTCACAATATCATCTATATCAGAGAAAAAGTCTATGTAGTTTTGGTGAAGGTATAAATTAAAAATGTCTCCAGGCATGTGTGATTTTTCAATGACATCCTAATAAAGAAACACACACACACAGAGTTAATACTTTACATCAAAGAAATGTGAATCAGTTCTTACTTCAATTAAGAATTATCATTGTTAAAGTGATTTTCAGTAATTAATTGCAATAAACACCTTTACCTCTGGTTGAACAAGCAAGGAATTTCGTTCATATTCTGATAAATGAACAGGCAGCTGAGGAAAGTCCAACTCTTTTGCTGGTTCTCCTATAAAAAAGGTAATAAAACACTAGTTCTTATCAAATATCAATTACATACCTGAAAAATAGGTTCTTGGCTTATGTGGAAAGGTAGCTACCAGAAATAAAAGGTTTGTTTACAACTCAAATAGGTATGGTTCATTTGGCTTGTATTACTTTTGCAAACTATACTTCTAAGGCATACATAAATTCTGTGTTCACACAGCAGTGAAATCAGCTGTGTCAAAAAAGGCCATTCCAGGTTTTGTTTGAGAATTCTCACTAGCTAGTCTGCTTGCTTCATATATGATCCTTTTTCATCTCAGAAACACAAAATATTGCATATTTCTATCTCGCTAGAAAACATAATGTAAACATGGTAGATTTGTGCACATCCTACCAATAAATAAATAAATAAATAAATAAGGAGAAAAGTGGGGAAAGGAGGGAGGGAATGGGACTCCAGTGATTGCAAGTGTGGAGTGTTATTTCATGAATTCAAACATTATTCTACTCTCAGAGCTCTGCCAAATCTTACCACTATCTAAGTACTTGCACATTATGCTTGCACAACTGTGGCTTTTGTTAGATCCTCCTCTCATACAGTTTGGAACCCAGTTGGATACTGCCAAAGATTTGCATTCTCACACATTCTATATGCTCTTAAATTTTAGATAAAACATTGTGATGCAGTATATGGACAATGCTAGCCAAATATTTAATTGTATGGACACATATCAGAAGATTTCATTGGAGGTGTAGGTATCACATGCAAGTTGCCAGCTAATAAGACTTCAGTTCATCAGTGATTTAAAATAAACCCATCTAGTAAATATGTCAAATGTTTTTGCTTGGATCCCTCTGCAGGTTGGACTCCATGGAGAGTCACTGAATCCATGGAGAGCAGTGTGAAAAATAAGTATCATAATAAGAAAAAGTCAAAGGTGATCAGTTTAGCTCTTTATAGCAGCCACAGAGTACTTAAAAGGTCCTTTGAGTACGCTGTAGCCAACTATGCAACTCTATTTTACAATTTAACCCCAACCCCATTTTGATGCCAAACTGAGTGCTGATGTCCCTGACCCTAACACCGATGGCCCTGAGTAGGCCATGTGTTGCCCTAAAGAATATGTCTGTGGCTCTGTCACCTGCTAGGAGAAAACAGGCAAGAACCTTTGGATTATACAAAGATAAGAGTGTATTTATTTCTAGAAATAAAGACATAATTCTTTCTGAATGATTGGATGTGCAGGCAGTCCCAAGGTAATGGTTAATTTCTGTCCCTGAGAAAAGGGAAATTTGTCTTTAAATCAAATTTGTTATATGCATGTATAATTGTTCCTCCACATTTGTGGGGGGTTAGGGGTGCAGGATCCCCATGAAAGTGGAAAAACTATCTCTAGACCCACCACCTGCCCAAACTCACCAGTGCCGCCTCTTTGCAGCAAGGAAATGCCAGAGAGAAATGCTATCTCTCTCTCCAGATAGGCAGGGCAAGAAGGCCTGCTTTGGAAGCCCTCCACTCTCCCCTTTCACTTCCTTTCTCTTTATGGCGATGACTACTTTCTGCAGTATTTTTTTTTAATTAACAAGTTTTATGGCAGTTTGTTCAAAAGTATGGGTTGTTCGTAACTTGGGGACTCCCTGTAATTTCTAGAAAGATATGAACTGGAGAAATGACAGCGCAAATTGAAAACAACTAAAAACAACTAAAAACAGGGGAGTATGCAGGGAGTAGGATTGTACTGCTGGCTTTGCTTGCAGACAGTTCTGGTCTGCAGTGAAGAAACCTGCTTGAGTGTAGCCTTTTACAAGATTAAGTCTTCTTTGCTGTGGACAGTCCACCAATGCATGGGTACTTGGAGGCAAACAGTGCAGACCCAGACTCAATAATTGTGGGATGCCCCCTTCAAGCATTTCACATGTGAAGAGGGACTACATGACTATTTTAAAACAATACCAAGTTAGCTGATTGTAAAAAACATGTAGAAATTATGTGTTTCTTTTCAAACATAAGAATGGAAAACAATGGGTTAGTTTTCTTACTTTTGCAATAAAGTATTTTTCCCAAAGCATGGAAAAGGAAGATGGAGGCATCTTTGCCACCAATAGCTTGTAGCTCCACATTTTCTAACAGATTACCAGCATTCTTCTTCTTCTTTATTTTAGACAATGTATCACATTTTAATGTAGAATTCTTTTTTCTCTGTGACCACAGGTTGTCCTCTGAATAATATTCTGGTCATCAAAAAGCAACAAGAACATTAGCACTATAGTAGAATGAGAAAGCATGAATTCCATAATTTGAATCACTCCTGATTTAATAGAAAAATATGCCAAGATGTTTGCAATAGAAGGGATTTTTATTTTCCAAGCCAAGCTGATAATAATAATACTGTGGGAAAAGGAAGATGCAGGGAAAAGGAAAGGCTTGGCAAAAGCCAGCTGAGTTTAGGACAGATCAGAGGGCCCTGTATTGAAGCACTCTGTCAGAGACTTTAGAATTGCTCTTAGTAACAAAAATACATTTAATTTCTGTTTCTCACTATTGAGAATGTCTTCAACACTGCCTCAATGGTGTCCATTCCATCTTCTCAGAAAGCAAACATCCTTAAGCTGAAGGATTTTTATACATACCTTTTAAAGAAGAAAACTGAAGACTGTTTATTGCACTCCTAATATCACCTGAACAACCTTTGCAAATTAATTCTAATGAAGTTTTGCCAGGAACATCAGGTTTTTCTCCATTCTACAATCAAAAGCAAAAACGCCTGCAAGGTTTGGACAACTTCAAGACTTACAACCAGCATACAATTAACTGCTACTAGTTTATCACATTTGCTCTAAGCCTTTATATAATCATTAACCCGGGGTTTTGCAGTACATACACAAGTGACCTAAGAAATCTCACACACACACACACACACACACACACACACACTAGTTTTCATACATTTACCCCATATACTGCAATGTCTCATCTGATATTAGTGTATTTATGTTCATACAATAAACCCATAAAGACTCAGCAGCACAACAATACTTTAGAAAAATATACACATCCCCTACTAAATATGTACAGCTGCACTGATGGTGAAATAAAATACAGAAGCTCTATGCACAGATAAACAGATTATTCAGTCAGTAATCTTTGTGGCTGAGCAGGGATTTGCAATGCCAATTTCCAATACTAAGCTAATATTTAAGCTAATATTTTGGCATGGCAATACTACCCACCGTTCAATACAATATAACCATATCCCTATTATCTCAATGGTGTTTTAATTTTTCATACCGTATTGAACTCTGTAACACTTATTCGATTTAGAACTTTCATCATCATTGTAGGAGCCACTGGATTAAAACTGAGAAAATTGATAAGAAAGAGATGGTCAAGACAAGCTTTACATTACATTTTCAGTCAACTCCAGTGAATTTGGTGATCTCTTTACCTGATATTAGATATATGCAGCTCTTCCTGAATTTCCTTTGGGAACAGAAACCATTGGTTGCTGGCTCCACTGAAGCCACCTGATATAATAAACACAAGAGGGCATCTGCCTGTCCGCACAAATTTCCTAGAATACCAAATAAAAAAGAGGAAGATACAAGGCTAAACTTCAAAGATTTTGAATACTGAGTGGTAGGAGATTATGCTAGCAATTAGCAATTAGAGCTCCCTGGCCCAAAACTGTGCCTTCAGATTATCTGCCCTCTTCCACATGCCCCCAGTCCAGAAGCAAAAGAATGATGTGGAGTATACCATAAGCCTAAATAAGAATGGCACCATACTATTTTGGAGTCAGTAATAGGAACCTTCGTCCACTCATCTTTAGTAATAGTGGCCTTTGCAAAACTAGTTGCTGAACAGGGCTTTATATTTACCTTAAAATGTCATGCAAACTGCTTGGGTCACAATAAAAATGGTTTGGAATATCCTGTTGAAAAATCAAATGCAATATTGTTATTTTAGCACGCCTGCTGCACAAGTATTGTGACTGACCCTCATTGTGCCAGGACCATTAAGATTGCAATGTAATACAACACAACACAAACAGGCTTGGATTCAAAGAAGTACTTTAGATGAACCCATGGACTTCTGCATACCCAATGGGTCCTCCATGCCACATTACAAACTGCTCTGAATAATATTCTCATTTTCAAAATTGTTGCCCATAGATGGGAGTGATGATGCTTTTTGGATAATACAAGTCCAAAGTCCATTTGGGAACACAGCAATTGTTCTGTAGTTCCTTGGATCCTGGCCTTAATGCTGAAGACAAAAGATATGCAAGTCTTAAAGTAGAGGAGAGTTTCAATCATATTGTTATGACTGCCATTATTTAAATGTTCAACATAAAAATTAGTCTGTATCTTCTGCCAATCCAATCCATCTAGCTCCCTAGTGACTGGCAATGGCTTTCCAGAGTTTCAGAGAGGGATCTGTCCCAGCCCTACCCAGATGTGTCGCTGCTGCTGCTGTTACTATATTACATTTATATCTCATCTTTCTTCCTCTTGCAAGGAACTCAAGCTGGCTTATTAATTCTCACAGCAGCAACCCTGTGAGATTGGTTAGGCTGAGGGTTCTATGACTGGTTCCAAATTTACCCAGTGAGCTCCATGGCTGACTGAGACTAGAACCCAGATTGCCTGAGGCTCAGTCCAACAGTCCAGCCACCACACCATACTGGGTTCGTTATGGATTAAGCCTGGAATCAAGGGCATGTGAAACATGTATTCTACCACTGAGCTTTATTTTCTTTAATCTTAGGGCACTCTAGACTCTTTCCTGGAACAGAGAAATATATGTACAAATTAAATCAGGTACAGGTCCTTAAATTATAGCTTGTAATTACTAAATTTTTCAAAATTAGAAATTACATTTTCACATTTGTTGTTGTTGTTGTGTGCCATCAAGTTGTCTCTAACTTGTACTGACCTAAAGAATGAAAGCCCTCCAAAATATTCTGTCCATTAACAGCTCCATTCAGCTCTTCTAAGCTGTGGCTTCTTTTATAAATTCAATCCACCTCATATCTGGTCTTCCCTTTTGTATGAGCAACATTTCAAATAATCATCCTATGTTCAGGGATGCTTCCCATCTTTTTTGTTATTTTCATGGTGGGAGAAGCAGTGAGCTGTTCATACTTAATAGGAACTTATGCTTTTTAGATAATAGCCTACTTTAGTATATCTTACAAACCAGTATTAAAAACAAGGAAATAGAGAAAAAAGAATTTAGCTTTATGTAAAGGATAAAAATGCCTGACTAATGTATTCAACTAGTTCTACTTACTTCCACAAGAATAAGTCTTTTGTTAGTTCCCGTGGACTCTCCAGCCATCTGAAGCCTGGCATACTTGTTTGCTCTTAACAGAAATTCTTGAAAGAGGGCAGTTTGGCTTTGATAGGGAACTATCTGAAAATCAGATTCTGAACAAGAGAGGACACATTACAATGTATACCATTTTAATAAAAAATGAAGTTTCACTGTCCTATCTGCTTTAAGTTCTGTGCTTTGCAGAAAACTGGGCTGCTTGTTGTTTGCTGCCTGATGCCCACACACCACACATGTAAATTTAAGGTATTATGAATATACCATTAATGGTTTATAATTTTCATCAGTGTGTTAGACAATTGCATTCCAGAGTGCAAGTTACACCTCACTTGAAATATCAGATGTGCATTAAAATAGAAGTACCATGCAAAACCCTTCAAGTGTTTCAGTATTGTAAAGTTCAGTAAGCAGAAAAGGCTTACAAATCATTTTTAATTTTTAGACAATCAAATCAGCAGTGTAATATTGATAACTGAATAACATTACCTACATTAAAGAATCCAAAGCACCAGCCCACTGAACATTTTTGCCACTAATACCAAGAGATCCATGCTAACAACTTCATCCTTGATGCACTGACTGTATTTGCATGAAATATTAAACTGTCTTTCTGCATTATGAATCTTGGATTTGTATACTTCCTCTTTAGTTCAGCCACAAGGAGGAATCTGGAAACATTCATTTCTATTTTAGACAAACCACAGCTTGCCATGACATCTGAGGTTAGACTTGACAAAGGTTAGTGGGTTAGGCAGAACCTTAACCCTAACTACAAGTTATGAAGCCAGCTTGTTTTCACTAACCATGGTTAAAAATAACTATAGTTTATGGTTTGGATGGAACACTAAACTGTGGCTAATCTAAAGTAGAAGTAGAAATTTCCTATTTCATCCTTCTGGAAAGGTGAGGGAGCTTGCTGTTGCTCGTTAAGGAAATGCTTTAGTAGAGGGGTGAGGAAATTTTTCAGTCCAAAGGTCAAATTCAATTTTAGAGTAAATTCTGGGGCTGTGTTCCAGTAGTGGGCTGGGACAAAGACACAATGATATAAAAATACTATCCTATTGTAGCTTACAGCTCTTTTCAGAATGAGGAAAAATGTACAATTGCTGGTAAAGCACCCAAGGATCAGAGGAAAATAAAAAAGGAAGTATAGTCAGGAAAGGAAGGAGTTATCTGAGGAGCTCCAAATGACCAAATTTCATCCCCAGTCCTGAGATTTACCATCCTTATTTGTATTACATGCAAACTGTGCCATGATTAGGAAAATTTGTAGTATGCATTCAAACAGAAGGGCTACTGCCCATTCCCATTACTGCACAGCAGATAAGTTTTGAAATTTAGAAACTATTTAGTATCCATTAAGTAGGAGTAAGTCCCATGAATTATGATGACTACCATTTGATTATGGCTTTAGATTATGGGCAATTTCTCACTCTCTCTCTCATTCCTATTAAATATAATATCTAGATACATAGAACTGGACCAAGAGAAAGGTATAGGTATGGATCCAAGTGCTTGTCTGTTAGGAAGTTATCAATGAGTTAAATTAGATTTAAATTTTACCATGGTTCAAAGCATTTTGAAAGTCATCTTTCCTGAAGTCTAGAGATACAGGATTTATCCATTCTTGCACCTGAATGCCAAGGTCCTTGGCTAATACTTCCACAGTTGCAGACTTTCCACATCCTGGAGGACCAGTTAATAATAAAACAGAGCTTCCCTACAACAAGATACCATTTCATGAGCTGAACAATATTTGAAATTGAATTGAAAAAAGTAAGCCTCTGATTAATAATTAAAAGAAAAACATCCAACAGCGCTCTTCTAGAAATGCTCTAGCAAGTATTCAAACAGTCATATAGTAAGAGTAGTTCTGAGACTGTGACTGGGTTTGCATAACATGCCAACTCACTGTGTCTAAAAAGTTACAGTGAGTTAGCATATCATGTGATTCAGGATCCCTTTCCCTCAGTGTGGCTTATTTTAAAGTTACAAACCAGCCTGACAAGGGTGCATATTCTAGGATTCTTTCACTCATGATGGGTTCGTGTGTCATCCATACCTGGCTAACAAAATCCATTGTGGGTAAAGAGAAGGAGTGAGCAAAACACTTGGCAGGAGAAACAAAAACCCCTTGCTACTCTTGCCAAGCTTGCTTGGGCCACCACCAGTGACATCTATTCCACAAGTGGCTTTCCTCGCCACAGCCACGAGCCCCTTTTGGCTTTTAAACTTTCCCATTTTTCCCTTTACCCCTTCCCTGCTCCCTTGTTTAGATAGCCAACAATTCCCCCTTTAAAAGTTACTGACAGTCCCTTCAGTTCTCAAGCAGCACCATGGAGGGGTCAGCCATGGCTACAAACGTATATACATATATTTACATCCCTCATGTGTGATTAATATTTGCACACATTATTTTTTCTGTGCGTGTGGACACTTATGGAGGTTCAAGAATGGGTACCTTACTGAAGTATAGCAAGTAACAAACCTGGACATTGACTCAAAGAGGTTCCAACTAGCCTTTTTTAAATCTTTGTTTTATTTGATCTTTTGTAGGAGGGCTTGTCAAGCCAAACCAGAAGTGCAAATAGTCTATGTTTGCAGAAAAACAATAATGGATATTCATTCCCCCCTTGTAGCAAGATGGGACGGGGGGGGGGGGTCTTGATTGTTCTAAGATGCTCAAAACTTCAGTTCTTTTAAAAGTAGGTGCCATGCACTCTTTCATGTTCTTAAGTGCCTAGAACATGGCTTCAGGAAAAGGAGTTCATACAATCCTATGTTCTTGGGGCACTCTTCCAGTGATCACAGGACTGTTCTCTTATTTTTTTTTAAATGTACATTAAAGTTAGTATGTTCCTACTTTTTAAGATGAGAAATCCTTTAAAGCAAACTTATTGGCAAATTAAAATATTTGATAAATAAACTCTACCTGTTTAGGTTGTCTTTCAAATATATGATATTTAAGCCATGTTTCAACTTCTTCAATTTTCTTTTTGTGTGTGGCAAGCTCATTCTAGTGAGAATTAAAATAAACATATAATAATACGATATTTATGGAGCAAAATATAACATGGTAATCTTACAAGTTCTTTAGAGACCTTCAAGCCCCAATGCATGATGATGACATAGTTTCAGCATATACTTTTGATACTGCTGAGAGTCGTTGAATACAAGGGTAAGCAAAATGGAAATAAGTGGCTGTGGGCTTCTTTATTTTCTGTATGTAATGTAACTGAGAAGTCCTACTACACTGGATTACTGTCTATTAGGGGTTTAACTGGCTAGTAACTACCTGAAACACATCTGTATCAGGTTTTTAGAGGCCATGGTGATGACATCATGCACAGTGGACTCTAGGATCTGAGATGCTCCTGCAGCCTTCAAATTACAATGGTTCTATCCTGCTGTCCATATTAAGCAAATTAAAATAAAAAGACTATGAGGAAACATCCCATTCACACCTTGGAACCTACAATATGGCTTCTGCCTCCATGCCACATACCAAAACCAAGAGACTTTCCCATACTGATTTTCCCATATACTCTGGGCAGTAGCCAAGTTTGCCCATGCACTAGCAAGATCCACCACTTGGACACACAACTAATAAAGTCTAAATTAACAGTTTCTTTACTTTCCCTTTGGGCATGCCACATCAACAAGCAACATAGTTCCCTGATTTTAAAAGCATTCTAAACTAGACACTACCTGAGTTTTTGGTTTGTATTTATCCACCCATGGTTCAGTCTGGTTACAATTTTGCTTGGAGAATTTATCTCTTTCATTTCTAGTAGCTGGCTTTCTTTTTTTTCTCCCACTTTTCCAAATTTCTAGCACAGGGAAATGCTCTTTAGCCTCCTGACAGTAATTATTATCTGTAGAAGACTTCTTATGAAGAATGCTAGATGACAGATCTGTATTCTTACAGATATCACTAAAAGATGGTTCAACCCAATCAGTCACCTAGCAAAATATAAGCATACCAAAGTTATTATATCATAGAAATAATTAATTCTTAATCTGATTAATATTTGACTTCCGCTAGTATTTACTGTACAATATTATGAATACTTCCAACACTAATAGAAAGCCATTTATCATTCACATCAGTTCCATCAAAGCAGAAATTCAGCAAATCTACCTGAATACAAAATGAAATAATATGTAACATATATGCATATATTTAGTAGGCATGAATTAAACCATTTATACATGTTTAGCATAAATGTATTCAATAACACTTCCAATAATCATGCTTAGTCTGTAAAATTTAACCAATTCCAAACCAGTTTAAGTTAAACTATCAAGAAACAGAAACAATCCTTCCATATCTGAGCATAACAGGTGCACATAAAAATATAGTCTGAAGTTGGTTAATATTTTTAGCTTATAATCACCCACTTTAGCCAGACTTATCTTTCTTTTGGAAGATTTTTTTGACATCATCAACTTCTGTAGTTTCCATCCGAAGCATATGACCAGTAGCCTCTTAAATTTTGTAATCTAGAAAAGTGGAGAAATGCATATATAAACAAACCTTGCAAGATTAGTTTTAAAACATTTAGACCAACCAGAACAGCCTTCCAAATAAAGAGATATCTGCTCAGTTTTTGTTCTACTCACCTGTGCAATTTCCTTTCTCTCCTCAAAAGTTTAGCAGCCCTTATTCACTCTCATTTAGACTTAGCATGGTGACTGGAAAGAGATAAGGTAATACTCATGAAATATCCACGGTTCTGCCTTTGTTGAAACAGTCCTGTGGGAACTGCATGCCCAAATCAGATTTTCTGTTCTAGTAACAGCTTCTGGTTATGTGAGGCTAGAAATAGCACAATATGTGCAGTTGCAATAGCACTGCTAACACAATTCAGCTTAGTTGTGAACCTACACTTGCAAATCTCCACAGAGAAACAAAGGGTAAGTGCAATTTTTCCCACATTTAGGAGCAATTGCTGCTTGCTATTAGTAAACTTCAGGTTTATTTGGCTATCAGTTCTTAAGTGATATAAGAGCCCTAATTACACATTACACTATTCATGCTTTCCAAAAGCATGCTTAAACCAGCTACTTTCATTTTGGGAAAAAGAAAGCAGTTGCTGCAGTAGTACTAATCCAAAATTTTCTCCCAGCTATGAGCATGCACTAGTATCCTGCCAAAAACACCAGTTTATTTGCCTCCAAAGGTGCTGTTATATGAATACAGACTCAAAGTTGTGGTGAAATAGTACAGTGTCAGAAGTACACCGGCAACATGATTGAAAAACTATTTGAAAAGAGCAATATTTTTTGTTCGGTTGGGTACAGTTGGTTACAGAAGCAAGAAGGGGATTTCAGTAGCTAGTCAGAGTAATAACCTCATACATTCCTACTCCTAATATAAGGTTATAGTGAATATAAGAAACTAAAGGATTCAGCTGAATCTAGGGGTGCTTCTAGATGAGGAGCTTATTTCACAGTTGGGGTGCCTCAAACACTGGACTTTACAAAGGGTCCAATATAATTCTCTTCCAATTGTAAATCTCCCATGTTTTCCCACATCTTTTTTTCTTATAAGTAATCGATTGAATGGGGAAAATAGAATAGTTGCACTACTTTTCTACTGGTAGTGCTGGGAGCTATCCATCTGAAAGTATTCCCATGTGAAAATATTCAGACCGTATCTCTATTCAGCCACCCAGATAATATTGCAGATATTCTGTCTCCATTAGGGACATATATAGGGACAACATATATCTATGTTGAAGAGTTATAGAACATCTGTATGGAGAGGCAGAGAAGAAGGTTGAAAGGGAAGTAAATGAGAGAACTTTAACAAGCATATCACAAGTTCAAATGCTGTCATACCATCTCCACAGAATGCGCAATATAAAGAGCACAGCCTAGTTTACCTAATTGTTCTCCAATGTACAGTGCTATTTGACAACTTCAAAGCACATATCTGTACTATCTATCCCAAGGGAAGAAGGAAAGGAGGCAGAGTTCCTTTATGCCATGGGGAAGTGCTTGTTCTTTCAGATGTTGTTTCCTAGGAAGGAACGTTTCCTCAGGTTATCCTATAAGCGCTTATCTGGAAGCAAGCCCAATTGAACTCAATGGACCTTACGTCTGAATAAACCTGTACAGGATTCCGTTCTTACTCTGACAAGTACGAAGTGATGAGAAAGAGAAGCCAGTTGCTTACTTCAGAACAAAGATGCTTAGGATTACGGTGTACATACATTGAGCCTATCCGGTCAACAGGAAACTCTGTCAGAGACTTTGGAGAGACTCTATCAGAGGGGCTCTATCCAGCTATAACGCGCTAAAACCCTCTCTCCACCTCTTTCGCCGCGCGGGGCTACTTCTCACCATCACCAGAAACCTGCCCCAGCCCTTCCAGCAGAAGAGCCCGTTTTTCATTCCCTCCCCCGTCTTAGGCCATCAGCATTCCAGGCGGGGGCCTCCCATTCTATGGCGCTTAGCGGTTCTCGGACTGCCTAACGTACCGCCTTCTTTCACCTCAGAAATCAACCAGATCTCATTGAGAAACCTAATGCATTAGCAACAATTCATTTTTATGCGTAGGTGTGTGTGTGGGTGTGTATTTTATATATATATATACATACATACATACACACACACACACACACACACATACATGGAACACGGCTCTCACCCCAGAAAATCTGCCCGCTCACTACCGAAGGTGGTGAGGAAAGAGCCGTGGTGACGTTTTTAGTACGCGCCGACTTTACAATGTTCGTGAAAGGCCCTCGGAAAAGGCTTTGCATGTGTCTTCGTGACAGCTTTCAGGGCACTTGAGACGGTGAAGCGAATATGAGGAGACCTAATATTTTGCTCACGGGTAAGAACAAAACGGGGATTGTGGCCGTATGGCAAGGGGAAAGGGGAGGGAGACACGAAGACATAAACGTGAGACGCCAGTAAAGAAGTAAACAAGCAAATGATTAAGAATTGCAGAAGGGCGCTAAGAGAGAGCAGTGCTTCTCAAGCAGCAAGCCTTGGGTTCAATTTTTTGTATTCTCAATTAAAGGTTTTTAGTATTAAGGTTGAAAAGGTCTGCCTGCCTGATTCTGGCAATCTGCGACTGTCCAGATTAGATAGCACGGTACAAAATTAATTAGGACTTGACACATCATAAGGTAAATACTTAAATTTCATATGATTCTGTACCCCATTAAATGCCACTTTCGTACTCCTCTGTCTTTGAAAAAGAAGGTCTGATCTACATATGCAAAAATCGAAGGGATTAAAATGCATTACACCAGTGGGAGAAGGGTGCTTCAGTTTTGGATGCTTCTCCATCTATGTTTGTTGGTTTGAAACACCCTGGAAATGCAAATGGAAAATTAGCTGGTGCACTGGTTTTGTATTTATAGGGAATGCTTAAAATGGGGGGCATCAAAATATGATTCATCCACCTAATGTTCAAAGAGGTGCAGTCTACAGCACTCTTATTGTTCTTGCACAGCACTCTTTATTTTTTTCCTTGGCTACATGTGTAGATCAGGCCTAATCAGTTACACTTTCCTTCTCATGCAGAGCCATGAAGGCTAAAGAGATAACAACTCAGGGTACAGTCCAACTGGGATGTCTGTAACTCTCCAAACTTACCTGTGTTTTTTGTATAGATGCAGAGAAGAATAAGAAGCCTCCTATGCAGGGTGGGAGGAGTGTGAAGGAAAAGGTCACTTCTGTGCTCTTCCTGCCCTGCAAAGCAGACTATTAGCCTCTGTCTAATTTCAGTGCCTCAGAACAGGAGGAAAGAGACTGAGGCACCTACAGAAAACATCATAGCTTGGTGATGCCAGTCTCCACCCCCCTTTGAGGGCTTCCTCAAAGCCCTTCTCATCTTATGAGCTTGAAGATGCAGCTTGCATGGTTCTTTCTGTTCTTGCTGAGGAGGTGGGGGAAGGGGGATCTGAGCAATCTTTTGGCTGTCTAAACACTGTCCAGCAACCATATGATTGCTCTATGAAGGACCAAAGTGTACTTGTTTAAAGTAGGGTCTTGCATAGAAATTTTAACATAAGGTTGTTTGCATATTATTAATTACTACTGTTTTACTACTGTTTCTTCTTGATATGACTCTTCATAGGTACTCCAGGTGTTGGTAAAACTACACTAGGCAAAGAAATCGCTGCAAGAACAGATATGACTTACATTAATGTGGGTGATTTGGCCAAAGAAGGTAATTCAGAGTATCTAGTATTTTAAATGTGTATAGGCAGTCAAATAGGTCTATCTTTATATTAAGTATATGTTTACATATAGGGTTACTATGTTTAAGGGAAGAATAATCTATTTTAAACATCCCTGTTTATAATAATTGCTTTGGAAGTCCTTGAAAATGACATAATTTCATGTGATGTGTGTATGACTAAAATGCATGCTATCCATTCAATTGAAAATACAGAATTAGGTATCTCTTCAAGTCTCTCCTTTTTACTGATAGCTTGAAAGTAAATAAACTTGTACAAAAGTTTAGAGATACTAATGTGATCTTAACACAAAGTACAATTACAACAGGGAGAAGCATTTTTGCAGGGGTGGAAATCTTGAATAATGTGGTATAATTATCTTGTATTTGATCAAATAGAAATGTATGCAGGTCACTTATTTCTTTGGTGAAATAAAAAAGAATCAAGTCAGCATTCATACCACATGTATGGTGTATGTACTAAATAGTCGTACAGTATGACCCTAAACATGTTTGTTCAGTAATAAACTAAATACTGATTTCAGTAACACATAGCAAGGAGTAAATGTGTTTCAGATTATAGTTTTAAATTACCTGAGAGCTAAGAGAAGAAAACTGTATGTCTTTGGGCAGGGCAGTTCTTTCTGTATTAACCACACACAAATGATCTCATTAAAATAGTTTGTTGTAAAATAAGCATAAAACCTGGCAGAAGTAGAGCTGGAGGAAAAACGGTCTTTGAAGAACACTAAGGGGTTGTGTGTCTAAAGTAATACATGAAAGGTTTGCCATATGGATGGGTAAGTCTGCCAAGAAGGGCATATTCAGTGAAACAACAGCCCACCAAAATTATCGAAACCCTGTTGGAAGGGACATTCATTTTTTCTTTTTCTTTTAACAAAAAAGAAATAAAATGCACATGAAAGAGTAAAGAATGGGGCAAAAAAGGATACCAAGGAATATTACAAAAATATAACCTATAATTTCACCATCTAGCCTGTTCATGAGAAAGCATAATTTCTATCTCCTCTGGTCACAGATAAATCAATCAGTTCTCAGTTGAGGTTCACTCACAAATTAATGTATCAAAATAATTATAAATTATGTCATAACTTTAAAATGAAGTACGAGTCTCTAATAATATTTTTTACAAATTCTTTTTTCTTAAATATTAGCTAAATTGCTCGTAATAGGCTTTCCATTTTTCATTAAATTCACTGGCCGGTCTTGTATTTATACAATTGGTTAATTTTGCCATTGTTGAATGTTCAGCTAGCTTATTTTTCCAATCTTTGATGGTTGGAAAATCATCTACTTTCCACCTTGATGCAATTGTAATATGTTGCTGTTATTGTTTCTATGTATACGTTTCAATCTAAAGCTCATTTCTGAATAAAAGTGCATAAGATAGGGTTGTGTGGAGGTTTTCGAAAGTGACCTGTCTGAAAAATAACTGACGTAACTAAATTTATTTTTTAGTGATCTGATAATGATGACCTTCAAACATTTTTCTAATTATGTAGGGGAGTTATATGAAGGCTTTGATGAAGAATATGAATGTCCAATTCTGGATGAAGACAGAGTGAGTTTAAGTTAAAAGCCTGACACATTGCGTGTTTTGTCTTTTTTGCCAAGAATTTATGGCAACAAAATCCATGGCCTATTTGTCTGATTTTTCTTTTAGGTAATTGATGAAATGGAAGACAAGATGTGTGAAGGTGGTGTTATAGTTGACTATCACAGCTGTGACTTCTTTCCTGAGCGTTGGTTTAACATAATTTTTGTGCTACGTACTGAAAACTCATTCTTATATGACAGATTGGAAAGCAGGTAAATCAGTATTACAGATGAGTAACTATCAACACAAAATCTCTCACTGGTGTACATTCTCAGTTTTATTTTTACCGTAAACATTTACTCAAATATCTAAGTGCTTTTTCTCCTCTTTGTTTCTACTTAGGGGTTACAAAGGAAAAAAGCTTCAAGACAATATTCAGTGCGAAATTTTTCAGACTATTTATGAAGAGGCCATGTCATCTTATCAGGAAGAAATTGTACATCAGTTGGCCAGCAACACTCCAGAGGATATGGAGCAGAATTTAGATCAGATTATACAGTGGATTGAACAGTGGATAAGAGACAACAATTAACTTTGGAATATATGATGCCAATAAATAAGATATTTATAAAAAGAACTTCATCCCAATAAAATTGACATGCTCTCATGCAGTAAGTTACACTTGCTGTTTCAAAGTAATAGTTGCCTCTTTAAGAAAATCAAATAGTTTTGCAGGTCCATATGAATGCAGAAATCAAACACTATTTACATTTAAAAATGTAAAAACCTGGAATTTGGTATTGGGTATCAAATATTCTCTTTGAAGACAGTTTTGAAAAGACGAATAACAAACATGACTACATAGTCTTTTATGCCTTCGAACATCTCAATCCCTGAACAAAAACATTTTGGACTCTTAAAAGACGCATTTTTAACCAATGGGACCATGGGACTTAGTTTGTGAAAATAATTCAGAATATTATTATTTATATACCTAATACTTTTGCATGTGTCTCTGTGTGTCTGTGTTTCCTAATGGTTCTATCCAACAATGGGTGATGACTGTCTTGATAATTGCCCACTTTAGCACAAATGCTTCATATGAATGGAATGTTTGTTCCACACCTGTTAAAATGTTGTTTGTAAAACTTTAAGGAGACTGTACAAAGGGCATTACATTTTTGTGTAAAATATGAAAAATGATATTTTTCAGCCTATTCTTTTCCTAACTAATGTCCTTTGGCATGAAAATTGTATTCATTACAATTTTTTTTAGTAAAATTAGAAAAAATATGTTTGTTACATAATTTTAATCTATGGAAAAATCAGGCCACAATTTTGATTTTTTTAAAGAGGAGTGCATATTATAATATGGAACATTTAGCTTTATTTATATACATGTAAATCTATTAAAGTGCCTTCTACTATATTTTATAACGAATTTGTTTTTTATATTTGTTCTTTAAAACATCTGCAGCCTTTGCTATGTTCCACAAATCTTCCTTGAATTGATGAATTAGACTTACAGTGAAACCTATCTTCTTGTAAGACCTATCCAGTGGTCAGAAATGCTGGGAGTTGTAGTCTAAAACATTGGGGGTGGGGATACTAGGTAGGGGTAAATTGATGTGGTTTTAAATAATCTTTGGTAGCTGGCCTGAGAAGCTTTGCCCCCAAGACCAGGAAGCACTGCTGCCAATATTGATATAGATGATCCAGTGATCAGATGGATCAGATCTCCCATCTCTCGGAGCAAATTTGGAAGCGTATGGAGGTCCTAAATGGGGAAGGAAATAATTTTCCTCTCCACCACTGAGTAGTTGTTCTGTCAGCAGTGGGACTAATTGTGTGCAACCCATCTACTATAAATAAAGCACATTATACAGCATACATACAGCATAAAACACAGGGAATGAAATACTAAAAATAACCAGCACCCAACATTTCACAAGAGCTGGCTTTATTGAAACTTAAGAAATGCCGGGAACAATGGATGGCAAAAGAAGAAGGGGATGGCAGAGAATGAGGTGGCTGGATGGAGTCACTGAAGCAGTTGGTGTGAGCTTAAGTGAACTCCAGGGAATGGTGGAAGACAGGAAGGCCTGGAGGAATGTTGTCCATGGGGTCGTGATACGTCAGACACAACTTCACGACTAACAACAACAAAAATATAAACAAGTTTTTAATATTTAATTGCCTGGGGAAACCAAAAAGGTCTTTAGTGCCAAAAAGACAAACCCAAAGATACCTGGTGGGCATTTTCTGAAAAGGCATGATATTAACACAGCACCACCACGAAAAAACCTTTCTCTGCCTAGTAGTCACTGGCCATGTTTTGCTTGGTAGAGCCAAACAAGATTCTGAAGGGAAGACTCTGAAAATGATCATAGTGTCCAGGTAGGTAAATGTAAAAGATTATTCTTTATGTAACCTGGCTATGTAATTTAGGATTTTAAAGGGAAAAAAACAGCACTTTTAATTGATCCTGGAAACATACCAAAAGCTGTTGGAGATGACTAAATATAGCTATTATATAATTGCACTATCCAGTCCATGTTAGCAACTTTTGCCCTATTTTGGATCAAAGGAAGTTTTGGACCATGTCAAATGCAGCCCAATATACAGCACATTGCAGTAATTCAACCAAACATGCATAAATGTACTGAGGCTTTATTGTGAAGAGGTCACTGCTGATACATTTGTCAAAACTGAAAGGAAGCCAGATATTAACAGTATTTAACATTTTCAAACTTTATGTACAATCTAAGAGTTTATCTGATAAAATCACAAGTTTACAAATGCAAATTACTGCTATTATATCATTGACCTTATAGAATGATCAAATTTAATAAAGTTTATTTCTTAAACTGATAAAGGAGCCAAGATACCCACTTCTAGGAGTTTTGGACTGAAAAAGACTCACAGATCCTTAGGGTGTGTGGAACCCAGTGCAGGTCAGATTGAATACCAATCAGCTGAACAACAAATGATTTCCATCATACATGCATTAAGTTTATTGACCCTCATCCAATCTGTTAATGGGTTTATTCCTAGGAAAAAATTTTAGGATTACAGCCTAAAAGTGCTAGTACAACCTCACCACAACCTTACAAAGAGATCTGCTACTTCAATTTTATAGTGAAGAAGAGGCTAAGAACATGAAGCACAGAGCCAGTTTAGTGAATGCAACAGAAGATTGTCTGTGTACTGTCTACAACTCCAGAATCACTAACTGATTTTAAACAGCTTCACATCTTTTACTAATAGGTTCTATGCAGAGTCCTGTACTTATATTTCCAATACACTTCTCACTATAATTCAGACTGTGAATTAGATAAGCTATCCCCTCATATGTTTTAACATCCTGCTATTAAATCAAGGAAATAATTGGCCATTCTTTTGGCCATTTCAAGGTATGCTTAGCAGAGGCTCACAGCTCTTGATGGTGTGAGAAGCTTGTTACATAAACACATACCCTAAGAGTTTTACTTCAGCCCAGCATGTTCTGGAGCCATCTAGCCTGCAAACATTTTTCTAGGCACACAATAGCCATTACAATACTTTAAACTTTAAAATTACCAAGGATGCGTCCACCTCTAATCACAAAAATCTTCCCTCTTTTACAGGACATTGTTAACCTGTGAAAAGACCAAATCACACATCCCCAGGCGAAACACTCTCTGACATATTTTAATTTTTAAAGATTAAGACAAAATTAGTCCTTTATGCATGGACTGAAGCAGAAGCTGGTCTAGATGAATGTGTCCTCAGCTGGTCATAGGGACGATTCAAAAGCAGGTTGTTTTTCATCAGTGTTCCCTAATAATTCCAAAAGGAAATAGCTGCCCAAGGCTACAGTTTAATACCATAGTTAATAAATCACACAAAAGCAAAAACATCAGGCTGGAATACAATGTAAGACTTGCTCTTAGCGAAAGTTTTCTTTTAGGCAGGCCGTTATTTTCTTGGGCCTCTGCGACCAGGGTAGCAGACAAGAGACGAGGAAATGAGCCCTTTCTGACAGAATCATTCGTGCAAGCAGGTCGCCCGCGTCTTTGCTTCCCCAGGGCTGGAACAGGGCGCGCTCGGGTTCGGGAGAAGGGCGAAGGGTGGAGCCTCGCCTGGAGGGCGAAAGGGCGGGACCGGCAAGGAGGGCTCCGCCAAGCAAGCAGGAGCTGGACAAGGAAGCGGCGGCAGCCTTGCGAGCCAGGTGCAAAAGTGGGGGTGCTCTGAGGCCGGTGAGCGAGGCGGGAAGTTGTGGGAAAGGGTTGCACGTTAGAAGGGTACAACTTCGGGTTTAGGCTCCCAGGAAGGAGCGGGGGGAGAGGTGCTGGGGTCTGAGGAAACCTAACTGAAGAAAGGCAAGGCGGCCTGCAAAACTACGGGGGAAGGTGTGGAGGCTTCCGATTTTAGGGGTAACTTGAGGTAGCTCAGGCATCCTTTGAGGTGCTTTTAGGTTGACATTGCAACCAGGAATAGCGAGCAGTACGGGGTTTATTTGTTATTTTTTTCGGCAAGGCCCTTGTACCTTCACAAATAGTAATAGTGGTTTACGGAGATACGCAGCACGTTGTCCAGTCTGGAGATGTCACGTCAGTGATCGGCAAAGCTGCACCTGTTGCATTTTTTACTGTTACACAATTCTTAAAAGACGAAGAGATGCTCTACTTGAAGTCTCTTGATTATTGTGAGATTATGAAGGATTTGTATCATTTCTAACACAATCCTATGCATACTAGGAAGTAAATCCTAATTGTGGTTAGTGGAGATTATTCCCAGGTAAGTATGTATGTAGCCTGTTTCTGTTATGCTGTAGCCCTATGTAAGTGAGGATGGCCATCAGTACACAGCAATAAGCAGTGTTTGCTCTTGGTCTATCTATCCAATGTCAGGCAGGTTTCTGCCACCTATGAAATATTAGCCTGATTTATAGTAGTGAGTTAATTGGGGGAATAAATAAGGTATGGAGATATACATAATGTTAGTCATGACCTTGATCCATATAGTGGTATTTATGAGAATGCAGGAAAAAGATCCTCAACCTTTCATTGCACATGCACCTAAAATGATCAGCTGTCAATGTGTGTGTAAAGACTGGGCAGTAGGTTTTTAAAAAGTATAACTATTGGAAAATAAGGGAGATTAGATTGCATCCTTTCATCATTCTACAAGGAACAACAAGGTTCAAAGAGAGCACTCTTAGTTTTGGAAAGGAAAAAAGCTCTATCATAATTCTTCTGATAAGTTACTGTCATTCTCCAGATATGTTCCTGGGAGCTATTAAATGGGTATACATTATTCTGGTGAAAAATATTTCATACATATGTGATGCGGATCCATCATAGAGAAATGTAGGTTTAAGTCAGTTAATTTTTTTTTACTGTTAATTCCAGTCAGAAGAACATATTAGTAAATATTAAACCAAGCCTCTGACAGGGTTTCTGTACCTGTTTCGATGCAGATGTTTAAAATGCATAGGTGCAGGGGTGTAGAGCCTCCAGTTGTTGGATTCCAGTTCCCAACATTCAAGGTAGCATGGCCTATGGTCTTGGATCTTGGCAGTTGGGCTCCAAGGATATTTGTAAGTGGGCAAATGTTACAGGGGTGCAGAACTAAGGAAAAGTTAATATCATAAAACACAGTGATAACTTTCTCCCGGGTGTATGTGTATAAGATTTCAGGCCCATTCTGGTCTAGTTTAGCAGAAGAGTTAAGTACATGCTTATTTCTTTCCCATTGAAAGTATCAAGATTTACAAGTGTCCTATATTGACTTATTTTTTCCTATACTTTATTTACTACAGTAGCTAAGAGAAATAAATCAAAGTGGATATATTTAGAAATAATTTTGCTTATGTCTGTAAAGAGCAGATAAATGGAAATTTTATTCCCTTTTCTTAAAAAAAAAGTTCTAAATAGCTTAGAATGTATGATACAGTGTTTACATAATCAACTGCCACATCTTGCCATTTTAGTCAATATTGCTGATAGTAATCGTTGTCTGTAATTTTATGCTTTTTTGTAAAACAAACAAACCTGTAGAAAGAAAATGTTTTTTCATTTAGAATGCAATCCTATGGTTGCTACTTGCTACACAGAAAACCCGAAGAAAATTTGGAATTCCAGAAAGTGCTTTAAAATTGGACCTGGGGCTCTTAATTCGGACACTCCCCTTTGCCCTTATAGCTGGTGCAGTTCTTTGTGTGTCAGCTGCCACTCTGAATTTGCCTATGCAGCTTTGGAGCAGGAACTAGGGATGATGCAGGGAGGAGAAACAAGGCTTCACCAGAATAGGAGGAATCTGGCAAGGCTTCAGTCTCCTCTTCTTGCAATCAAGGGTAAAACACCTAAACTGTTTAAATGAGCCGCCTAAATGTTTGGACAGTACTCGTGAGAAGAGACTGAGACCCTGCCATCCAAGTGTTTGGGGAAGTCAAGGGAATCCTTGCCTCCACTCTTCTCCATCTTCCATTGTTGTTGTTGCTAGTCACGAAGTCGTGTCCCACCCATCACGACCCTATGGACAACATTCCTCCAGGCCTTCCTGTTCTTCACCATCCCCCAGAGTCCACTTAAGCTCACACCGACTGCTTCAGTGACTCCATCTAGCCACCTCATCCTCTACAGTCCCCTGTAATCTGTTGAATTTGGAGGATCATGGGGTATGACCATGTTGTTGGTTAGCTAAGCTTTCATTAGTAGTCAGAGTTCCTCTGTATATTTATTTGGCTCACAATCATATGCATATTTAGACAGAAAACTTACTCCCAGCATTCTCTTGCAGGATTTTTTTTCTGTCTAAAAATGCATAGGATTGCACCTTTACTAAATGACTTATTTATAGGAAAAGCTAGAAAACAGTAACAATAAAATATGGCAGAACTAAGTTCTGTGTAGATCTCAATTTGGCATTTGTAGTTGGTGAATTCTAAGTTAAACAATGCAAGCTTTTAAATACATTTTAAAGTAAACAAAGTGGCTGGGTGTGTTTGTGTTTCTGCCAGCAAGCAAGCAGATTACACTGAAATTCTTACCTCTTGAAGTTGTACGTTGCATTAACCTTTGCTTTGAATTCAGTAACAAGATGATGGTTGATTAATTTACTGAAAAATGCTTTATATATCTAGATGATATTCAAGCTTTTAATCCAGGATTATTTAGGAAAACTATTGATATAAAAGTGGTGTTTACTGCACTCTTAAACTGGTGGAAACAAGTATTAAATAGAGGTGTTATTTGTTTAAAAATATTCTTAACTTTTACATATTTACTTTCCAGCTCTTTTGCCTGAAAATTTTGTGGAGGCTCTTTAGGGCAAAAAAACAAAACAAAACACCAAACACATTGATATTGGAATAAGAAAATATTTTTTTGGAAATGAGTGAAGCAGTCTTACTTCAGAACAAGTGGGCTAATGCCTCAGAAGGTGAAGATGATGACATGGCATGTGGAGACTTGGGAAATGGACTTACTAGAAGATGTAATAGTACTCATGAATTGGAAGGCTTCAATACATATACAGGCAGGCCTAGAAGCTCAACAAGGAAAAGCTTGAGTCCATCTGTGTTGGCAAACAAAGGGGAAGACTCTGATGGGGCAATTTATCGTTGCTCAAAGTGTCACCGTTTGAATGACGTGTCAGTAAAACAATTTGGAGGAAATGGATTTGTTAGCTGCACCCGCCAAAACAGCTCTGGTAAGGTTTTAGTGCAATCCAAATCTTGGATCTCTTAGTATAACTTCATTGATGAAATGGGAGAAATTGCTATTAAACAACATCAGTCATCAACATTTCCATAATTATTGTTTGCAGCCAGTTTTTCTCCAGTGGGTCAACAAATAAAGAACAAATCAGCTGAGACTTTTTATTGGGCTGTTGTTGAAAATGCTGACTCCAGATTTATTGGTTATATTGACCTCTCAGACACAGGTGCTCAAAGCAAAAATAAGGAACATACATGTCTCAAAGATAGTGCTGACCCTTTTAAAAAGTTAACATTTTGGTTTAAATAAAGGCAATTGTTACTGGATTCTAAACATTTAGCCTTGTGTCAGTTCCTTTCATATATGCATTTTCAGAAATGCACCAACATGCACACACACATAAAATAAGAACAATTTTTAAAACTCAGGACAATATTTCACTCAAAATGCATTTTTAAAACAATTATTTCTTTGGTATCATTGATTTAATTTTATATAATTTCTTTAGAAAATGAGAGGTTCTATTAGGTCATGAAAACTGAGGCAGTATTTAAGCTTTCAGACAATGCAGTAAAGAGTCTCATACATCAGTCAGCAACAATAGTCATTGATTTGTTGGGTCATCCAGTTGGCTCCTAGGATTCTAACAGTATGGCTTAGTTTGTAGGCTCCATAAACTGGGAGGTTACAGTTTAAAAGTAGTACTCTTTCGAGTATTAAAGTGTGGATGACTGTGTGACTAAAACTCAGTAGGTCTGTACAATAATTGGATTATTGGACAGGGAATATACAGTCTTTTCCACAGAATCCAACTTCCATTCCTGAAGTAAGATTTCAGTTTGGGGGAATCACATTTTCCCGGTGCTCAAACAATAGCTTAATATTGCTGAGAAAGTATGGTTTACTTCTTGTTGTTGACTTCTGCTTCTGCTGCAAACGAGCTCTTTTTATGTGATTATGCAAGTATTACAGATTACAGTCTTTTTTGTTTGCTAAGAGGCTGAGTGGTGCTATAGCATTTTCTTGCTTTTTCATTTGATAATTTCTTACCCTTAGTTTTACTCTTTTCTCAGATTTGGAATCCTGATATCCTGCATTAGAGCAAATGGTCATGTTCACGTGATAGGACAACCCATCTGTGAATAAGCAATGCAATATAGTTGTTAATGAAACGTTGCACAGCACACTCGACAAACAATCCTGCTCATCTGGGTAGTCTCCATCTCGTTTTCCCTCAGCTATCCCATGGCTATCCCAAAGGACTCTGCAGCAGTCATGTCTCCCCACCCCATTGTAACCCTCTTGCAGTTGCACTGGCTTTTACTCCCTTTTTGGTTGGACATTGCTTTTTGTGATTGCCAAGGTGATAATTAAGTGCCAAAATAGAACATTGGAGCAATGTCACTGGTTTGTTAGTCCTTTTTTTGAGTCTAAGACTTACATACCTTTGATATTTTTTAATTTGCATCTTTGTCAGATTTTTGCACAGGTATGCAACTCTATCCCAATTGTTCAGACTTGACTCATGAACAAAGCAAGGTGATGAATTAATTTGTTGTTTTACCTCTCATTTTATAGCTATCAAATGGTGAGGTGTGAAGTGGGAAGCTATGAGGGCATCTTTGCTGACAAAAGCTGATAGTGTGTATATATTGCCCCATATCCAGTGAGGTCCTCTAGCTACTGGACCTGACCTCAGTGTTTTCACCTTTTTTGCCCTTTATGAAGACTCTGGGTACTTGGTGAGGTGGAAATGTGTGAGCAACCCATTTATAGGGTTATTCAAAATAGGGTTTTAAATACTGCTAACCATTTTTTAAAAAAACACTTAAGTTTCCATCCATGAAATCTGCAGATTTCTTTAGTCTTTTGCATATTTTTCAACTATCTGAAAGGATCTAGTGCATTTTTGTTCTTCACAACTAATAGTTGATGTTTATTTAAAATGAAATGAAGAAACAGGGTAGGGAAGTAGAATCTGCAATCATATTTTTGAGAAATAATGGTTTCCTTAAGTTTTTAGTTCCTTTTTATTATTTAAATAAGAGTCATCCTTTTCCTTTCAAACCAAGAAACAGGCATTTTTAAAGAATTTGTTTTCTGTTCTTAATTTTCATAGAGTCTAACTCTGAGGTATCAAATGAAGAATTAAAACAACATCTACAAGAGGTTTTAGAGGTAGGTAGGTGCTTGAAAGACTTTATTTAAAATGTTTTCTCTCAATAAGTCTATGTAAAAAGAAAAATTTGGAGCATGCAGTTTTTGGAGAAACACGGGTTGTGTTAATAGAACACTGAAAGCTAAAACAAATGTAATGGTCATAGACCTGGGAAACAAGAATTATTGGGTTGTAACTGAATTATCCCTTTATCTGAAAGAAGCAGACCTTTGGATGCAACTCAGCAAGTTCCTAGAGCTTGGGATGCACAGAGAATAAATACTAGACGTGGCTTCTAAAGCCTTAAAATGAGGTTTTACAGTGGTTGTATGTGTATTCTGCTTGTTGCAATGCTTTCATTTCTTCACTCAAGGATCTAAGGGGAGATGTATTCAGTAATCCTTGTAGATGGTTATGAGATCCTTCATTTACCAGCAAGCCAGATCTGTACTATTTCTAAGTCTATTCCCTAAAGGCTAGCTATTATATGTACTGGTATTGTGGGTAGTAGTATGTTATCAGGTAAGTGCCTTGAGGCCACAGTTGGTTCCCCTTAGGACCCTGGCTCTAGCTACTGCCTTATGGCCCAAGTCAGCAATTTCTCACAGCTGCCTTCATTAATTAGAGCCAGAATGTATGTGCATTTCTCAAAGTCACAAAACTGTTTGCACAACCTCATCTGGTTCTTAAGATTTTTGGGAGAGGCCTTTCCTTTGAGATGACCATTGGTGGAAACATGAAAGGGAAGTTTGGTTTGCTCTTTTGCTAGCATTTGTGTTGGCAGAGTTGTTGAACTGCATGCTGTTTTTACTTAGTTACTGTTTCAATGAGCTTATTATAATTAATAAAACTTAATAAAATAAGTCTCCTTCACTGCCATTTTTGATAGAAAGGCAGGGTACAGATAAAAACAATAAAATCTAATAACTTGCCATCTGATGCCTCTGTTGTTTTGGCTGCCACTGATCATAAGAATTCTGCTTATTGGTATGTTCCTAAACTTTTGTTTACTTAGCTTTTACCAACAAACTGAATGTTTAATGGATAATGTTGTAATATGTCATTAGACTCAATCCACAGCATACAGTTGTTCCATGCATCCAATCCCTTCATTAGGGAGTAGGGATTCTGATTCTGCACACTTTGTATGCCTCAAGACTGAAATGTTCTTGTATAGCTGCATAACTTTTCCATGGGTGAGATATAGAGAACCATAAGAGTAGTTCTAGTCATTTAACACAGTAGTCCTATTTTTATCTTTTTGTTCTAGTTCTTTATTCCCATCTTCCCAAAGCCGCTTCTGAGTTTCAGAGAGCCTGCTAGAGTAGTACAGTTTAGGGTGAGTTAGATGCAGCTTATGGTGGGAATTTGGGAAATCAGAGGTCTCTCAACTCTTAATGCCAGAAGTGCCTTCCACACATATAATGGACCTTCTGTATTCTATCCAATGTTTTTTTCCTCACCAACTTAAATTTCTTTGTCTCTAGGAAGTAGAAATTTTGAGAGTTGAGTTGGAAGCATCTCAAAGACAACTTGAAGGCAAAGAGCAAGCATTAAAAATTCTTCAGGGTATGGTAAGTCTAAAAATACCAGTATATATTTTTAATGTGCCAACTGCATTTACATATATGATATTGCATTTCTCAGATGGTACATACAATATTATGTGAGAATATACTTCTTGGCTGCTGCAGTGGCAGAAATGCTGGAAAGTTTTTAATTAAGTGCTGACTTTTCAAGTGTTATCCTAAGGTGTTATAATTGGCACAGTTGATTAAAGCACTTTAGAAAACAGCATTCTCTGACTATTTTCAGAGGAGAAAATAAATCAGTCGATATTAGCAGGACCAAGAAAGAGCTTTGTGGTAGCATAAGCACTAACACAGGAGCGGACCAATCCTATGGACTCTCAGAGAATGTTGCAGCGGTATATAGTGAATTTCTTACTTGGGGCCAAGACACTAGAGGGGATTCTGTTGCATTCTCAGAAGAGGGTCAGTGAGTGTAGGAAAGCAGTGTGCCAGTGTGGGAACAAAGAGTATGTGGATCCACAAGATGCATAAGCCCCTCTGTTTATGGCCATCCCCTGCACCCCCCAACCCCATGAAGCAGGATCCAGAACAGATTTTGAAGCATGGGTGAGAATGTCCCCTTCCTGGTACCATAATGGAAACAGTTCCATCAGTAAAACTATATAATTGGATCCAACCCTGTGTTGAAACTGTTAATTGTATATGCTATCAGAATAATCCTACCCCACAGCAACTCTACAAATGAGTATAGTTGCATACTATACAGGAAAGAGGATTTCCAAATAGTGCTCACATATGTCTATGTAATTTGGACATGTCACCCTCAATAATGTGTGCAAGTAGTGCCAGAATGCTACAGCAGGCATAATCATTCCTTCACAATGGGAGGTCAGTTGTTAATGCAATAAGAGATCCAGCTACAAGACTGTAGCATGTAGGATGGAGGTAAACTTCAGAAGTTAGGAGATGTATACTGGCCAGACAAAAACCTTGTTGGGACTGCACCACCTTCCCACCACCGGAAGTGGCCATGCAGCTGTTATTTGGCAGACTGTCAGAAACCTTGATAGGAATGCTATGGTATGCAAAGGTACGCTTTCCCTGCATACCTTTGTTTCTCAGCAGAACTTCAGGGATTTTGGGAGTGGTAGGTGACTGCAGGGGCCTGCACAAATAGACATAATGGGCCATACATTGCCCACCCGATATAGAGAGATTAGATGTATCAAATTATATATTTTAATTATTAATCTTTTTGTGCTTGTTTTCTCTTAAGATAGTATTTTTGCTTATTTGAGGTCTGAAAAGAACATCTATTGTCTAGTAATGAGCAGTTGTAATTTATTTATTTATTTTTAATTTGAAATATTTTTATCCCATCCTTCCCGATAAAACGTCTCAGGACGGCTTACAAAAATTAAAAACAACAACAATAATAAAAGTATAGCAATAGTGAAAAAACAATAAATAGCAAGAAATGAATAAATCACATAAATCCAAAATTACCATCATTCTGAACTTCTCTCCCTCTCTTTTTATACACTGTGGATTTGATCTGTTGTTGTTAGTTGCGAAGTCATGTCCGACCTATCGTGACCCCATGGACAACATTCCTCCAGGCCTTCCTGTCCTCCACCATCCCCCAGAGTCCACTCAAGCTCACACTAACTGCTTCAGTGACTCCATCTAGCCACCTCATCCTCTGCCATCCCCTTCTTTTGCCGTCAATTGTTCCCAGCATTAGGCTCTTCTCCAGTGAGTCCTTCCTTCTCATTAGGTGGCCAAAGTAGTTGAGTTTCATCTTCAGGATCTGGCCTTCTAAAAAGCAGTCAGGGTTGATATCCTCTAGGACTGATCAATTTGATCGCCTTGCTGTCCAAGGGACTCACAGGAGTCTCCACCAGCACCACAATTCAAAGGCCTCAATTCTTCGGCTCTCAGCCTTCCTTATGGTCCAACTTTCACAGCCATACATTGTAACTGGGAAAACCATAGCCTTGACTATACGCACTTTTGTTGGCAGGGTGATATCTCTGCTTTTTAGTATGCTATCTAGATTTGCCATAGCTTTCCTCCCCAGGAGCAAGCATCTTTTAATTTCTTGGCTGCAGTCCCCGTCTGCGGTGATCTTGGAGCCCAGGAAAATAAAATCTGTCACTTCCTCCATTTCTTCCCCATCTATTTGCCAGGAAGTGAGAGGACCGGATGCCATAATCTTAGTTTTCTTAATGTTGAGTTTCAAGCCAACTTTTGCGTTCTCCTCCTTCACCCGCATCAAGAGGCTCTTTAGTTCCTCTTCACTTCTGCCATGAGAGTGGTATCATCTGCATATCTGAGGCTGTTGATATTTCTCCCAGCAATCTTAATTCCAACTGGTGATTCATCTAGCTCCGCCTTTCTCATGATGTGCTCTGCATATAAGTTAAATAGGCAGGGCGACAGTATACAGCCTTGCCGAAATGCTTTCTCAATTTTGAACCAATCAGTGGTTCCGTGCCCAGTTCTAACTGTTGCTTCTTGACCCACATACAGGATTCTCAAGAGACAAAGAAGATGGTCAGGTACTCCCATCTCTTTAAGAACTTGGCACAATTTGTTGTGATCCACACAATCAAAGGCTTTAGCATAGGCAATGAAGCAGAAGTAGATGTTTTTCTGGAACTCTCTAACTTTCTCCATGATCCAGCGTATGTTGGCAATTTGATCTCTAGTTCCTCTCCCTCTTCGAAACCCTGCCTGTACTTCTGGTAGTTCTCGGTCCACATACTGCTGGAACCTAGCTTGTAGGATTTTGAGCATAACTTTGCTAGCATGTGAAATGAGTGCAATGGTGCGGTAGTTTGAACATTCTTTGGCATTGCCCTTCTTTGGGATCGGAATGTAAACTGACCTTTTCCAATCCTGTGGCCACTGTTGAGTTTTCCA